TCATTTTAGGGGGGGGGGGTTGGCTTTTTGTGACGGAGGTGAGGGGAGGAAGTAAAAATCGTCAAAAAAAAGCGACGTCATTTATGGATGACCACAAACAATATTGCGTTTATTGTTTTTTGTTGTATTAGTATATTTATGTTTTATGTTTCATTTTGTGGTTTTGTTTTAGCGGCCTATATGTGTTTTTGTTCTTTTTTCTTCACAGTACCCTTTGAATATATTTTACACCGTATCGAAGCAATGACATACAGCGAGTGTATATATATATATATATATATATATATATATATATATATATATATATATATATATATATATATAATAGCGCATTTTCCTCAACTCCTCGCCCCCACTAATCATAGAACCTGTATGCGCCTCTGTATGTAGGCTATATAGTATAGCCTAGAATGTGGGCCTAAATATTTGGGCTTATAGATTGGGGCCTAAGCTTTTCCTCATTATAAAAACCTACCTACACACAATGTAGAATAAAATTATAAAAATAGCGATGGTTACATCGCTATTTTTATAATTTTATTCTACAATTATCGTATTCTAGATCTACTTTTAAAAAAATTTAATACAAAGAGAGATTGTTAACCATTGACAAATTATTTCAACAATACACCAAGTGATGTAGATCTTCACGCGTTATCCGATAGGCCTAAGTTACACACGTAGTTCCAGATACATTTGGTAGGCCTTGAACTAGAACCATAGGCATAGCTGACATTTCCATTCACCCCCCCCCCCCCCACACTCCCCCTTCACATACACACACCTTCCTATCCTGCCTGCAGTAATCCTTTCTGAAAAGTGAGGGGAAAAAATATTATCTTGGTCATCATTTTGGCCTCAAAATGGCGTCGTTCTCACTGCAGCTGAAGTCAGAACTTAAACTTGAAATAATGCAAATAAACTAGCCTTTTAATGATTTGCACAACTTAAATGGCTTGATATTTATTAAACAAATACAAATGCAAGCCGTATTCTGTTCTAGGTTTATTAGTTTTATTATATGCGTAGGAAATGTACGGTAGATCTAATGTTCATATTCCAAGGCCAAGGCAAATAAAATGGAGTAGCAGGTTTTAATCACTATTTCAGTTTTTTCTTGGTTTGACAGACACTGAGTCCTATTGGGTGGCTCAAGTCAAAATGAAAGCGATTTTATTTGCACACTTTTTAGAGCTTCGATAATCATTTTTTTTTAAAACCTAGATTTAGATCTAGGCAGCTTTTAGTCTAAATTTCTAGTCTAGAATCTAGATCAAGTCTGGTTTTAGTTTCCAATCATCATGGATAGAGCAGGCAGTTGTACCAAAAGTCTTGACAAAGAAAGAAAGTTAGATTTAGAAACTAGAAGCCTAAGTGTACAACTGAATAGTCTAGTTAAAGTAACCCAGTAATTATTAGAAATCTAGATATAGCCATAGCACAGGAATGATTTTTAAGAAGAGATAATAAAGCCATGAATTCAGGCAAGCAGCATCACTAACTGGCTGAATTTGAGGGGTGAAATAATTCATAAATTTAACAATAATAATGGTAAGACTAAAATTCTATAAACATGGAAAGATTGGACACATCAGGATATGTTAGACTAATAAATAACTTACTAATGACCAAATGATTAGGTGTTTGAAAAAATTAGGGGGCATATCTAATATTGGCTATTGGAAATATCAAAACATAAAATCATAACTGTTAACTACTGTCACTGTCAGATGTGTCCAAACTTTGATAACAACTCTACTTTCCTTTATTATGTAATAAGGGGGTCGTCCATAAATGACGCCACACTCGTAGGGGGAAGGGGGGGGTCCGTGACAGTGTGTGATGAGGGGAGGGGGGTTCAGATGGTGCGACGTCACACTTTTGCAGTTTAAAAAAGCAATGTTAGAAAACTAATTTTTAGACCTTATTTCACGTTTTAGAAAACCGTTTTAATAAATTGTAATAGGAATTGATTAAAATACTCTATTTTGAGAGAGTTCAGAAAAGTTTTTGGAAAAATTCTACTGAAGTTGTGAGGGGGGTTGTAGGCTGAAGTGTAACGTCATTTTGGGGGGGGGGGTCTAGCTTTTTGTGACAATGTGTGACGGAGGGGAGGGGGGGGAGGTAAAAATTGTCAAAAAAGCGTGGCGTCATTTATGGATGACCCCTAATTCTGCAATTCATAATAGGCTGTGTAGGCCTATTTAATTGTCTACTACTCATCTAGAGTATTTTGTTTTCTTAAAATATCCTGATGGTGGAACGTATGTGGGATGTATGTAATATCATTCATTAAAGCATTCCTACTAGTAGTTGGGCATGTTAGTAGTTTTCTGAAAATGTAATCCAGAAACAAACAAAAATTGTACTTAGCCTATAGATCTAGTTAATCTAAGAAATTTTAGAGCTAGGGTTTAAGATCTTTTGCAGCTGGGGTTAGGGCTAGTATGACAGTAATTGCTTGATTGGGTTTAATGCAAATAAAATTATCAAGCTGCTTTAGCTGTGCAGCATTTGTTTCCTGCTTAAGGATCATTCATAAGGGACTTTATAAGGGAGGGGTAGTCTGGAATTCAGTGACGAGGGAGAAGGGGGTCGGAAAGTGTGACATCACACTTTTGCTTGTATTGTAAAAAATGAAGTTTAGCCATTATATAAACTGTTTTTGTAAATTGTAGAGAACTTAATATACTCTGTTGACCCAGCTCAAGTAAATATTTTAGATATAAATTGATGTTATTTAAAAAATAAAACTGCAATATTTGGGCGGGAAGGGGGGGGGGGTGTTGAAAACTGAGGTGCGACGACATTTTAGGGATGTGTATGACTTTTTGTGACTGGGGAGATTAAGTAAGAATAAAAAAAAACATGACATCATTTATGGATGACACCTTATAGTATATTTTCATTGAAAAACTAGATTATCTAAGTTATAGGCTTTCAGAATAGATGCCTAAGCATTTTTTGTACATCCTTACAGATTTTATTCCAAGTTTAAAGCTGCCGAGGTAGCAGGCACAATCACTTTCAAGATGGGGAGACACTGCTCAGCCAATGGGTGCAATAATGGGGATAAAAATGCCAGTTCCAGGGAAACAAAAATTAGCTTTCATTCCTTTCCTTTAAAAGATGAAACTCTACTAAAACAGTGGCTTGTCAAGATGAACAGGGAAGGTATAAAACCCACCCAGTACATGCACCTGTGCTCGGAACATTTTGTGGAGGAGGATTTTGTCTACCAGCCTTTTACAGGTTCAGTTTAACCTTTTTAACACAAACAAAACTCAAATTATTTAAATTATAATTTTGATAGCACTTCCTTTCTCTTCTACTTTTTATTACTTAACCATAATGTTTAGACAACATACAACAATTTTAAAATTTCAGTTTGGTGTGTATTTTACAATCCTACAATGAAGTAAAAACATTTTTTTTGAGAACATCTCACAGTTGTTTGGGGAATCATATGTGAATGAAACACTCATTTGTTTTAGAAATATTAATGATTGTTCTACTTTACAGGTCAACGACAGCTAAAGAAAGGTGCAGTTCCGTCAATATTTTCTATTAAAAAGTCTCACAAAAAGCAAGCACCCTCTGTTGTAACACAGTAAGTTATCTGCTTGCAAGTTTTAAACCAAACTTATTTCTTGTTTTTTTCCCCTTTAACATTGCACTTACAACTAAGTCACAGTATAGTTTTTTCTTCAAATTTTCTTTGATCAACTGGAATGGGGTATCTGTAATAGCAAGCTACACCATATTTTTTGGCTGTTACTATAGGCCTATATCTGTGGACAAAATATTCATGTATTTTGTAATATGACATGAAATAGGTCTACTTTGCTGTGTCACTCTTCATTTAAAAAGATGAAATTTACGACTTTTTTGTGTTAATTCCAATCTTGACAGTTGAAACAAACTCTTTTTTGCACCAGGTGGCAATAGTCCTTTATAAATTTATTAGCTATTAATACCATATATCTGATTAACTTCAATTAAATATTGATTACAAAAATGATTAAACCTTCACATTGAAGTGAAACTAAATAAAATGGTTCATGGTTCTGTATGGTTGTGCAGCCAGCATTACTCAGTCACTTTATGCAGCTTATGGTTTGTATCTATAGACCTTCATAGTTTGGTGGAATTAACACTTTAGCTCATTAATCAAGTAAAATAAGCTAAGCTTCACTGAAGTAATTAAAACAGCTGTGAAAAAGGGTGTGAAACTGTTCATCAGTGCATTACACAGAATATATTTTTTATTCTTCTAGTGGAAGTCAGAAAGCTGGTGTTTTCAACTTTTTAAATAAACTTTGTGTGCATTATTTTTCATGTGAAAATTTAACTCTAAATTTAAATTATTTTTCAGATTAAATAAATTAGAAGATATTGAATGTAAGAATAGCTTGGATTCTACTGACAGCACATCTGATATATACCAAGATGAAGAACAGTTTAATTTAGAAGTAAGCAGCTTCAAAGACTTCAGCTCTCCCCTAGATATATTAGATAGCCTTGATATGCCCCTGAAGCCCTGGGATGAACTCCTGCTGTCACCAGATTCTAAAACTGGACCTGACGAGTCAGAAAGTTTGGACAACTGGAGTGAGTACCCATTGCTAGGCACAGATTTTATTAGTTCTAAAAATAGTTTTGGATTTAAATACTTCACTTCAGAAATGGACGACAACGGTATTACTGGTTTCAGTTCTGAGAGTATCAATTTCAAGGATGATAACCGACCTTTTGGTTTACTATCATTCAACAAAGATGAAGAAATCAATTATGAAGGTACAAAACAAGATTTTAATAGTTACAATGATGAAACAGCTTGCAAGGGGCCAGATATTCTCCTGGGGTCTTTAGAAAAACATTTTGTCAAAAATATTTCTGTTGAGGAGCCACAAACCTGCCTGAAGACATACAGTGAAGAAACTCTCCCTGTCGATGATAATTTGTCTTTACACTTTACTTACACCAGCCTTACTGAATCTCAAGAAATGCCCACAGTTCTTGTAATGCTACAAGACTCAGATCTTTTAGTTCCTGATTCTACACTGGATCAACCTACAGAGAGCAAAATGAATGATAAACTTCAAGGACGAAAACACAAAAAAAAACTCTTCAAAAATGATACCCATAACACAATTACACAGTTTGCAACAAAATCTAAATGGCTTAGGAAATTTATTAAGAGCAGGTATATAAACAAGAATACCCCACAGAGACCTTCCATCTCCACTAGGCACAAGTGTAAAGTATGTTATAGGGTTTTCAGAAAGAAACGCAGTCTTCAAATTCATCAACTTCTCCACAGTGAAAAACTAAGTCAACTTTTTAATTGTGATAACTGTTCAAAAAGTTTTACACACAAGATTGTATACCTTAGACATCAGATGTTTCATATAAAAGAAAAACTGTACAAGTGCAAGGTTTGTTTAAAATGCTTCTCCAATCAGCAAAGTTTAAAATTGTGTCAAAAAAGACATGAAGGTTTCAAACCTCACCAGTGTCTTGTTTGTTGTCAAATTTTTAAAAGCAGGCAAGTGTTAAACACACACCAGCTAAGCCATGCTGGTAAAAATGTACCTAAATACCAAATAAATTACTCGGCTTTAAAAAGTAGCAAACATTTGATAAAGGAAACCTCAAATATAGAAGACAAAGGTAAACCATTTAAATGTAAGTTCTGTACACAGACTTTCATAAAGCACAGTAGTTTGAAAGTGCATGTAAGGACTCATGTTGGTACAAAGCTAGTATCCTGTCCCACCTGCAATCAGTTGTTCTTTGATGAGCAGAAGTTGAGAAGGCACCAGAGGACTCACGCAAGTGAGAAACCTTATCGGTGCGGCGTTTGCGACAGGGATTTTGCTACCATCCAGTTCCTGCAGTTACATGAAAAACTGCATGCACTAAAGAATCTCAACAGATGTAGCTTCTGTGGCAAGGTCTTTCTTACTATCCAGCACCTTGAGCAACATGAGAAGACCCACTTGGGGAATCAAACTCATCATTGCCAGGTTTGCAATAAGGATTTTTCTCTTTTAAAATCTTTCAAAAAGCACCAAAAGTCCCACTTTAAAGAGAACTCTTATCAATGTTCAGTTTGTAAAAAAACGTATGCCGATATTACAGGCGTACACACATGTTCTAGAAATCATAAAGATGCTGATTTCTTCAAGTGTGAAATATGTAGTAAAGTCTTAAAAAGCAGGCAAACCTTAAAGATACACCAAAGAATCCATACAGGGGAGAGACCCTACAAATGTAATGACTGCACCAAATGTTTTAAATGTATTGGGCAATTACGGGAGCATGAAATTAGTCACTCCACTGACAGCCCATACAAATGTCACATTTGTAGCAAGTCCTTCTCCAAAAATTATAATTTAAAAAGGCATTTAGCAAGTCACCTAAAATTGAAAATGCATACAGCTATAAGTAAAGCTGATGCTGCTAGAACTTTAACTATAGTTGTGTAAGGAACTACAAAAAAAATGTTAAGATCCTTATTTTGTAGGCATTGAAAACTAATTGCGCATCATAAATTTTTTTCACTGAAAACTTTTTAAAATAAATTTAAATTGGTGTAACAGAATTAGTTGTATTTTCAATTATGGGATACAGTAGGTTTAATAAAGTTTTTCATAAAGGTTGTGAAAAGTAAAAACCTTAAGATTTGTAAATACTGTAATTTACTGTAAAAGTGTTGTTAATTGTTGACTTCACTTATTGTTATTTGTTGTTGACAAATGAATGAAGTGTCAAAGAAAATTGTTATATATATATCACTGTGTTAAACCAACATGAGTGTTTTCATGAAACTAAAGAAAACATGTCTCACTGAGTTACGAAAGATGCTGAATGTGGTATTTTAACAGGAACTTTGTGTGGATGAAGAGCTTTGCTGTCAAACTAAATTAGCATTATTCAATTTGTGTTCATCACTCTGAAACCAAAATAATTTTATTAATGAGTTTACCCTAATTCATGCAATTTTATTTGCCTGAAAATAAGAGTTAATAAAAAAATATTGGGTGGGTTATGTGGGGAGAGAACCCACTAAGAGTTGTCATAACATTGTTTTGACCTTAGTATTTGTCTCCTAGACTAATGATAAAGTAACAACAACAAAAATGTATATGTTGCTTATCCAATCAACTCCTTATGATGATTTGGCAGCAAAACATGTGTTGTCTAGTTACTAAGTGAATTTACATAATTAATAGTTTATTGTAATCATCAAACTAAGTTTTTTTTTTTCAAATGTCAATTTTCAGCTTTGTTTGTGGCATACATGCTATTATATGTTCTTAACCATAAAATATAAAAAAAAAGTTTAAAAAAGCCTTTACTTTATTTTCTCTAAAATACAAGTTAAGGATGTTAAGAGCAATATGGAATGTAATTATTTTATTACTATGTTAGGTCTACTTTTGCTTATGGATCTGTATCCTAGTAAGATTAAATTCAATTAATATTTTTAATGCATTCATTCTTTGGTCATTAAATTACTCTTTTAATTTTTCTTTTCCATTGATCTGTACGCTATGAGATGCTGTTCACTTTACTTTAATTTACCATATTATACAAAAACAAATATTTTAAACTGATACAAAAATGTGTACTATTGCTTGTAATAAAGTTTTTTAATTTTATATCAACCATAAAGTTGAGACACAGTAAACCTGATGTGTTCTGATGTTAAGTGACAAAGTAACAGTGCTCCCATGGTTTGTTTTAACGCTATGTTCAACTACCTTCTCCTTTTTTTGTAATAGTAAGGTATCTATAAAATTTCCATCAATTAAATTGAAATATTAGCTTAATAAATATTTAAAAAGAAGTTATATTTGTTCATTATTGCTTAAAATATATTGCTTTTAAAAAATGTTTAGCAGATAACTAAAAAATTAGTTAGATAAAATCTTCTTTTACATGGGTTCTGATTATACTATAAAATTAATTATCTGTATATTAATTAATGCTAATGTTTTAGTATAAAAAGTTGCTTAGTTAACCAACCTGAACCAGTTATATTTTTAGTGTGATGATATATAGTTCAAGCAGATACCTTACCCCCTAGATCCGTGTTTTTAAAAAAATCGTTTTATTAACTACGTCAGTTAATAATTCATTTTACAAAATTATAAAAAAAATAAGCTGTACTTTGTAAATACGTTTCTGGTTTCTTTTGTTTGCAACATGTTTTACATGTCCACTTTGGATTAAAAAATGTATTGTTTTTAAAACAATCTACTAATCCCAATAGATTGTTTCTTTAGAAAAGTTTATGTAAAGGACTTAACTGAAAAGTAGAGAATACTATTGTGTGGAAAACTAAAATAACCCAGACATTAATACAAATGTTTTGTTAAATGTGTAAGACAAGATATCTATTTTAGTCTTCATGTACTTTTTAAGATAAACTTTTGTAAAAAAAAAATATCTTTAGACAAAGGGGTTAATCATTTGGATTATTCTGCTTAGCTCATGTAGTATTTTGGTCAATAAATTATTTCACTCTTATATGTACACTACATTAAAGTAATTGCCTTGAGTTGTTTTATATCAAATAAAGGTTTCTTATTTGGTTGAATTAATCTAGGAATCTTTTTTCATGTTATTTACTTCCTGATAGAAGGTGACAATTTTATTTTCATTTTAGTAACAGTGAATTAACTATGTAGTAAAAAGAAATATGTATTGTTTTTAGTTCTTTGTTTACAAATCAATCATTTTTTTTCTTAATAATTTACTGAAACCACATAAGAAATAATGTAAACAAATTTGCAGGAAATTTTTGAATTGTCACCCCTTTTTTCCTACAATATTTTACCAGGTTTTGGCGTTTTTAGAATGTACAAGTTTCCATTTTTTTTTTAAAGCTAACAAACAAAAGCTTGTAGAAAAGACATTGATTTTTTAGCTGCCAATCCTATTTACATTATTGCTTTTAAATGACTCCAGTTATTTTTTAAGTTTTACATTTTTTCTCTATTTTTTTTGTTTGTTTTGATTTAATGAAAATTCAACAAATTTAATAAAACAGTGCATGCTATATGTTGTACTTTTAAAAATAATTATTGCATGAATTTGAAGTTGACAAATTTAGTTAACAATTTTTAATTAGACTAAAAACAAAACTTTAATGTTTCTGCATTGAACACAGTAAAGTCATTATTCAGCTATAACTTAAAATTGATTTGATTTTGATTTGATTTATATCTTTGGTATGGTTTGAAGAAAATAGCCTTATACAGTGTTTAAGTAATTTTTTTTAGAGTTTTACTCTTGTATTCTATTTAATTTACAGAAATGTCTATCTAAAGAGAACCTTGTGAACTAAGTGTAGTTTTTATGTAGTTTTCATTATTGTTCTTTATAATTGTAGTGTTAAAAACTCTCTGGTTAAGAACAATGTGTGTTCACTAATTATTAAATTAGCTCAGTATGTTATTGTTAAACATTGTAATATTTTACATTGTAAGAGTTATAATCTTTGAAAAGCTTAAATATTTTTGTAACTATTAAATTTACAATTCTTTATATAACAAGTTTGCATGACTAATCCATATTTTTAGAAAATGTTTTTATAGAAAATGAAAAACCTCAGATATTTTGGGACTTAGCCATGATTGAAGATAAGGACCATTACATTTGTTTTAGTGGCTTAATCTAATATATTATAACTAAATCACACCGTTTCAATTTATCAACTACTATAATTACTTTTGCTTAGACCAAGCATAATCAGCTTAAAAAGTTATTTTATGAAAAGATTCAGAGAGAACCTATTTGTATTTAAGTTCTATTTTTTACTTCTGTAAACTTTCAATTCTAGAGATTACTTCAGAACAGATCAGTGTAGCCTCGCTTCCTCCATTTTTTTTCTTAGCAATCAGTAGGCAACCATCTGAGTAAGGCTGAATCCTTGTGATTTTGTTTTAGGATACTTTTTATCCTGTTGAGCAATAAAACAAAATACTTTGGTCTTTTTCAAACTCCAGAACTAAACATTTTAGTTCTATTTATATTATAGTTTACTTTATTTGGATATTATAATTTACTGTATTACATTTACTTTTACACAGTTTAAAAATTTATTATAGAGAAAAATGTAAAAATTATTTCTCTTGGCATGTATTTTAAAAAATAGTTCGGTAAAAACATTTTCTCCTATCCTTGTAAGTTTTTTTCCTTCTAAACTTTAACTGCATGAATATCTCTGTAACTGTGTTAGATTCAAACTAGTGTTTTATTTTCTCAAAAAGCAGTAGCAGTGTAGTAGGTACCCCAACAGTTAGATTTCCTAACACTTGTGTATGACGTGTTCCAGAGAACTGAACATTGTCTAAGGTACCAAGCATAGCTACAAGATACTAAGCTGTAGTTGTTGTTTCTTTATCTTTCTTTAAAAATACATCTTAACACTTCTGATACACCAGTATAATGCATTTAAACTTAAAAATAATATGATTATAGAAATAGAATGTCACAAAGTTAACTAAAATTTTAAGACCTCATTGTATTTGTAAGCTTTTATTAATAAGTAGGTACACAATTGGAATTTTTTAACTCTTTAAATAATAAGGTGCTAGGATTTGAATTGAGAATTAATAAAGTTCGGCTTTAACAGGATGTTTATATATCAATTTTGTTTGACATTCAAAGCTTTATTTGACAGAAATAAAAGTTGTGTTGAGACTATGGAAGTTTTTCTTTAATTTTTCTATGGGTTGTTTGCTGTGGATCTGAGCTACTGAGTGGTAGACCACAAATTTGGGAAACTTTTATCAAGTCCATCTACACCACCCAAATTAATTGTTAGCTCTAGGTGTGATTTTTTTCCACCAGTTTATACATGAGGAGTCCACTTGCAAAACCTGCTAATTCACGTCAGAAAGATTTTGTGCTAATTGAATTTTGTCATTAATCTTAGAACAAAAAAAGTGTATTATTTGACACTTAAGTAAAAATGTTATAAAAGCAACTTTTTTTATAAAGCTGACAGCAAGATATGCTTGAGGACTTCTCGTATACTTTTTAGCATCGATATATATAATTCTCTTCATGGAGACCATAGTAAACACCCTGCAGCTTAACCACCACCCTCATCCCCACTTGAAAGGTGAGCTGTGGTTCACCCCGAATGTTTACAATCGTAGAGCCGGGTTAGTGACGGCCATTATGGGCAGATTATTTAGTATTTAACAATTTGAAACGAAGGGGAGGTAACAATTTCTGATAGATCTTTTCTTTGTAAACAGCTGCTTTCACTGGGCTGGAAGGGATAGTGTTGAATTCACAAATTATGAATTGCTGATAAGCAGAAAATACAACAACTAGATGGCAACATATACTACGTCGTGGTCAGCTTGTGTAAATTATTTTGCCAAAGTGGGCACATTCATAGCAGTCATCATATTTCAAATATAATTCACAAACATACTAGTTTTAAGTCTAGTACTATTGTTTGGGTCAGAACATAATACAAAACAAATAAAACAACATGGACAGCCCACAAAGGAAATTTGTTTCTTAGTCCGCAAGGATTATAGATGTGAGGTGGTCTTTCCTCTAGACCAGGGGTCTCCAAACTACGGCCCGCGAGGTCCTCTCATCCGGCCCGCTGAGATCTTTTTGTCCACGGAAAAAACGTTTGTTGGTGATGGCTGAGGAACTTTGCCCAGAAAAATCAAAGACATGCCCGGAAGAAACTGGCCCCCAACTGAAATTTGATAATTAATGCGGCCCTCGGACTAAAAAGTTTGGAGACCTTGCTCTAGACCCATTAGAACAAACTAAACTCCAGGAGTTGTTTTAAATGTTGAGGTTAGCCACTGAAGGCTCTCTTGATCATGTCTCAAATACAATTCAAGCCAAGAGATAATTTGGAAGTTGGTAGTTAAAACTGGCCTAATGGTAGGTTCTTAATTAAATAAATCTTCAAACAAACACCTTTTTATATAAAAAAATCTTTTATTATTTATTAGACATAATTGGTTTCAGTAAAGGGCAAGAAATTCAAAATAAAACAACATATTTACAGTTTGTGGTGTAATATGACATTATTTAAAATATATACATCTAGCCCTAGAGGTTTCAGTTACATGGTAACTCTTAGTGCCAATCAAAACTGGTAATTCACACACTTAGTATTTTTCTAAACAAAAACAAAACACTGATAGAATACATCATTATCACAAAAAACAAATTTTGCTGTTTTAAGGAATCTTTAAAATAAAAACCTTACCTAGTTTATTTAACTGTACTGAAATCACTTTACTTTAAAAAAAAAAATTAAATATAAAAATATCTACTCTGACTACTTACAATGAATTTTACAATTTAAAAGAATTAACTGGAGTAAATTATTTTATTCAATAAGCCTTAGTGTATATGAAAAAGTTCACTCCTTCTCCCAAGATTACTATTGTATATCTTTCAGGTTTTTTCTATTAAAACCAACAGTAGTTCTTAAAATTAATGAGCAGATTCTCAGGTAAATAATCTTATGCTTTCAGGAAACTAAATACCACTCTAAATGGGGGGGGGGGGGGGGGGGTGGTTATCATTAAAAAAACTCCCACATATTTAAAATAAATTACAAAATGGCAATGTGTACAGCTTTATTAACCTATTCCGCTATTTCAAATAGCTGATGCTATTTTGGATTGGCAATTTATCAATCAACTCCAAGAGACAGTTTCTAAATATTAGTTCTTTTGTATATAAAAAAAATATATTTAACTAATAAATGTGTTCTTTATTAACATCTTTCCTAGCATTCCCTGAGTTTTTAATTTTACTGCCTAATGATAGTGGGTTGAAAAAGAAAATTGAAACCAAGTGAAAATGATTTCAGCAAGAAATTTCCATAAAGACATTATCTTCACCTGTTACTTATGCTAATGACAGGCTGTTTTTTTTTGTATAAGGATTTTGGCCTGATGTATAAAAGATAGTATTAGATAACGTTTAGGCCTTTTTTTCCATTTCTATGCCCGTGTTCAAACAAATAACTCAAGGCCAACAACTCAAAAAGAAATGACAGATGAGTTTCAAAAATGTGGTTTCTCATTTAAAAGAGTCTCATGTTTCTCCTAGACACTGAGTATTAAAATTCTTTGCAATAAGTTAATAACAGGTCCTCAGACTTTTAAAATTAATGCATGTGTCACTTATAGGACATCAGGTGGCCTGAGGCAATAACCAATACCAAACTATGGAAATAACTAGGCGAAACCCTATTGGCAAAGAATTATATAAACACAAATTGGGATGGATTAGACCCACCTTGCACAAACCATCAGACAACACAAGACAGATAGGCCTATAAGATAAAAATCCCCAAGGAAAGTAGGCAGGCCAAAATTTCAGACGGCATTGGAGGAATCCAAAATAGGAGTAGTGGATATGTGTGGTTGTGCCTATGATTGACAGGATGACGATGATGCATAGTATAAGTAGAAAAACAAATGTTGTGCCAATGAACGAAAGGATGATGATAATGCATAGTACAAGTAGAAAAACAAACAGAAAATGTTGATCATCTGCAGCTGTAAAACTGATTGAAGATTAAAATAAAAATACTTTCTTGGATGTGTAGGGAAAGATGCATGATCAGAATATACTACCATTTTTAGTCATGTTTGACACATGTAGATCTACTTATTCTTACTCAAACAGGAAAACAAATACAATGCTGCCTGTAACATAATGCCACATAACCCTGATTGTTGATTCTGCTTCAAGTCAAATAAGAGACGGACTTAGTGGTAAAACATAACTAATAAAGGAAATGTACTGCACATTGCTTATCAGGCATTTCAGATGTAAGACAATAGTTCAAACAGTACACAAACTACTGCATCATTATTCATTTACAACTACTAGCAGCATTCTTTTTGTACATAGAGGCTGCTAAAAATGTAAGCAAAATACTAGGATAGACTAAATAATTTGGCTTTGCAAAATATTCTAATTGTGATTCCAGTAGATGAGATTCTAGACCAGTGGTTCTTAACCTTTTTTGGGGGGTGCTGAACCTCACCAGTCTCATATGAGCACTTAGCAAACCCTTCTTAATAGTTCTATCGTCCACACTGACAAAATCTGATTGTGAATCATAGAGTTGGGTGTGTGTCTTGACCTCCACTGAACTGAACCCCTGTGACTGTTTCACATGACAACTGGGGTTCGATTGAACCGAGGTTAAGAACCGCTGGTGTAGATGAATTGGCCAAGAAAAGCCTATAGATCTTGGTAGCTAAGCAATGTAATTAAAACTATGTTTTAGTACACATTGTATTCTTGTATTTTCAGACTTGGTTAAACAATCATTAAATCAAAATGACATGCTAAAAAATATTTGAATGAAATACCAGGTTTTATAGTTGGCCACAAGTTACTGGTTAACAGCCACCATTGCACATACTCAGACCCACTAACACAATATAATTATACTAAACATCCCTTCACTTGAGAAAATCCTGCCAACACTATTGACTGCTAGATCTAGACACTTAAAAAATAATAAATAAATATAAATGTTTCTCTTAATAAAACTGAGTTTTACTTATTCAAATAATTTAAAACCATAAAATATAACTGTAATAAAAAAAACAGTATATTTAACATGACTGTCCAATAGTAAGTTGTTTTTTTTACACAGAACTTAAATAGTAATTTAAGTAATTGAAAAAATACTATACTTAGCTTATACAAATTTTAAACTAAAGGTAATGTGTGTAAAAATATATTTTCTCTATGATGCAACTATCTTACAATTAATGCAAATGCTATAAATCTAGCTAGAAATAGAATAATCTTTTGTGACACAGGCTAGATTAACTTACTGTAATCTTTTACCATCATTTAATAAATACTAGGAATTAGAATATTGGTATTTATAAAACAAATACACTATAAATATATTTTCAAAACATGACAAACAACAAAACAAGAGTGACAACATTCATACACAATTAAGTAAATATTAAATTCTCCAAAAAAAAAAATTAAATGGGAATGAATTGAAGCATTAGAGACAAAACCTAACAAACTATAGTTTCAACAAAGCCTACTTTCACAACTACAATGATTTCAAATTTCAGAACAAAATGTGATTAGCCAATCAAGAATCAGACCTCACTGTAATATAACCCAGAACTTAGTTGGGTTGTTCAACAACCTCTGGTAACGATGCAGAATGACTTAATTTATGGCTAATGAATTCTTCTTCTTCAAAGAAAGGTTCCTCACAAATATTACACTGAAACACTTGTGTACCATAGTGAACTCTATCAATATGCCCCATAAGACGAAATCTCTCATTGAACCCTTTTCCGCAAATGTCACATTTGTGAGGCTTCTCCACAAGATGTGTGGCTTGATGTCTCAACAGCTTCGACTGTACAGGGAAACCTTTGCCACAAACATCACACGTGTGAGGTCTCTGCATCGAGTGTGTTCTCTTATGCCTGACAAGCTTGGAACGGTCCGGGAAACCTTTTCCACACTCGTCACACTTATAAGGCCTTGCAGTCATCGTATCGCGCAACTCCTCATGTACCCGCTCATGCCTTAAAAGCATTAACCTCTCCTGGAAAGTCTTATCACACACATCACACTTGTGGTGTTTGGAAGCATTGTGCGACCTCCTGTGTAGTGACAGCTGGTACCTCTCTGCGAATCCTTTCCCACACTGATTACACTTGTGTGGCTTTTTACAAACATGGGCCTGCTTGTGTCTGGTTAGATCCTTGTTTTTAGAAAAGCTGGCACCACATTCTGTACACTTATAAGGATTGACGTCCCTGTGCTTCCTCTCTTTATGGCGAGTAAGGTTGGACTCCAGATTGAAAAGCATGCCACACATATCACATTTGAAAGGATTTTGACCAGGCGCGTGTAACAATTTGTGTCTTGCTAATGTGTAACTGTGCATAAACTGGAAGCCGCAAATATCACAATTGAATGAAGCACCATCGATAATTCTTGGGTTTTTATGCTGTCTAGTATGAGCAATAAGTTTGTCATTACGCGAAAACCCCTGACCACATATATCACATTCAAACGGTTTTAATCCAGAGTGAATCGTCATATGCCGGTTGTAGCTGTAGCGTTTTAAAAACACCTTCCCACATACTTCACACTCATGAGGCTTCCTATTCTCATGCCTGAGTCTGTGGCGGGTATAATTTGGAAGACCTTTAATCCTTTTACCACACTCAGAACAATCAAACATCATCTTAGACTCCGCTATCTGTTGCTCAATAGACTGCTGATCAGCTTCCAGGAAATTAATTGTTTCGCTGTCCATGCTCTCCTGAGGTGGCTCTGGGTTATCTTTAGGCTGTTCAGCTTCTTCGTGAAGCACTTGTACAGGAGCTTCTGTCGGGGTTGTAGGTGCGCTGTTTTCATTTATACAGTGAGCTTTAAAATGGATTGTGTATTTGTCTTTACGGGCAAATCCTTTGCCACAAAGATCACACGAGAAGGGCTTCTCTCCTGTGTGTATTCTTCTGTGTCTGTTATAGTTGTACGTCCCAGCAAACACACCACCACAAACATCACACTTATAGGCGCTTTTCCTATTATAGGGTGGAGTTTCAAACATGACCTGATTCTGAAGATCAGAATTCTCAATTATTGCTTTTGAAGAACGTTTTCTTTTTTTTGGCACCTTGGGGGAAATCCCAATTTTAGATTTCTTTAGACTCCACCCATTAACAACACGAAAACTGCTATCATCAGATTCATCATGAAGACCAGGAGAAATCACCTGAAACAGCCCATGACCCAGGTCATTTAGGAGCTTTTCAGATTTTGTAACAGGTGCAGCAATCTGATGCTCTGTTTTGATACCTCCATTAGTTTGAAAACCCCACTTCCCATGGAAGTTTCTATTTGACAAGACAGGCTTGATATCTAGATGGGAATCATCATCATGTGAGCTTAAAGTGCTGTTGTTATTGTCACCAGTGTAACTGTCATCCATCTCCTGCTTAATGTTACTGAATTGGACTACATCATCGTCATCATCATCTTTTGAGCTGTCATTTACTTCAATAACAAAGTCCATATAACCATCATCATCTTCACACTCGACTTTTACAGCATTTTCACCTAAAAAGTGATTTGGTGCAAATTTTAACATTTCCTCCCTAACAATGTCATACTCCTTTTTTGCATTATCGTATTCTTGTTTGATGGCATCAAACTTTTCTTTAATACAATCGTATTTCATTTTAACCAGTCTAAATTTCTCTTGAACTACTTTGTATAAGCCGTCATCTTGCTTCTTCTCTCCTTTATCTTGTTTTTCCTCTTGCTTATCTGCATGATTTTGTTTGTCCTCTGACAGTGTGTGATGTTGTTCTTCTCTTTGCTTCTCTCCAAGATTTTGTTCTTCCACTGGCTTTGCTGAGTCATGTTGTTCGTCTGCAGGCTTCTCCAAATCATTTTGATTTTCCTTGATTGATCCTTCATGCTCTATTTTGAACATTTTAAAAGCAAGATTGTAGTTTCTTGAGGAACTGGTTCAAGGTACACAATCTACATCAAACTTGGTGTATATGAGGCCAGCACCTGGAATTTAAAACAAAAAAAAGTTAATTTTCATATCAAATCATATCAAAATGTGTAGCCATTCAAGTCACATAAATTATCTAATAAAAAAATTATGGAAATGAAGTCTAAAAAATTGAACAGATATACAATGATAGAAAATTCTTAATTCTGCTCATTGAGGTTATGTTTTTATAGCTAACACCAGACATGTATATAAAAATCTTGGTTGAAATAATAAAAAAAGAATATAACTAATCTTAAAAAAATGTTAAAAATCTGCCCCTCATGGAACATAGCTTTTAAGGCATTTGTATTCTGTGCTAGTCTCTAGTGTGCTTCAAGACAAATAAATTTAACATGGGTGAATGTTATGAGAATATTTAATGAACTGTTAGGCCTATACCTTTTGTTAACAACTATTCTCAACCATTCTATAAGACTGTAAGAGTATCAAAATCCATTAATGATAATATAATATGGCCCTAGTTTACTTATTCCTGGACAAGCAACAATGAAATCTACAGAGCGTAAACAACAAATCTGTCAAAATGTAGATCTATTCTAGTCCCTTAGTACAGACTTATTGCTAGGTACTAGGATTTGGCTCCCGTTTTACGATGCGCGGCGAGATTTTCCTCCCGTTACCCAAATACCGAGAGTTGGCGGACGCGCGAGTGCGAGTGTTTCGTAATTTTTATCATTCTCCGTTTTCGCCTGGTCAATTTTATTGCGAGGAGTATTTTTTTGAAGAAAAATGGACTTAGCGTGTTATATATTTTTTAAAAATATTTTCATGGACTATTTTTTATGGAGTGTTTCATTGAAAATAAGGTAAGTTTGATTTATTCCCTAAACTTCTCTATGGGCTCTACTTGAAATTTTATTGCAAAATCTCCATTCTTATCCATTTTTGTCTATCTCTTTTAAAAATCGTATTGTTTGGATGTGTCTCTCAGCTGAAAAACGCTTCACAGTTAGGTGTACTGTTTGGGGCATCTATTGTTTACATTTTCAAAGTGAAAGTAGAACCGGAAGTAACTTTATAAAAGTTGAAATTCCTTAATTTTTTAACCGGAAGTTGCCAGATCTTACGATTGACACTTTCGCTTGTTTTTTATGCTTTGCATTAATTACTTGCAATCTACGATCATCCACTCTATTTATTCAATAATTGATGTTTTATAGCTAGATTTTTTATATATTATCCATTTTCTTTCTTAAATTTCGTTTTTTTTTTGTGTTTTTATTGTGTTTAACACAGTTTTTTTTGTTAAAAGCCATTTGCCCCAGTTCTAAGTTTTTTCCGCACTCGCGTTTAAAAGTAAAAAAACGTAGTAGTGTGGTCTTTGTTTTAGATTTTCTTGAATTTTAATCATTTGATATTAGTTTTAATTAATTATAATTAGGATATTAATACTAATACTATTTGTCTCAATTGAATTCCAATTGCCTGTTTTTTCTTTCATTTGAAAAACTATTATTCTTGTAACTAGTTTTGTTATTCAACTAACATTTTTTTTTGTTTTACATTATTACTAACGCAATTTCTTTATATACTTTTAGTCTTTAGTAGTAGATCTATCTAGATTCTAGATCATTATAAGATCTACATTTAACTTTTAATTGAACAGTTGTGCTGTTACATCAGTTTTGATAGTTTTTAAAAGTAAATTTACAGCATCTTAGTTAAAGTTTAGAGCTAAACCAAATCTAAATTGGACATAGATTCTTCTATATTCTAGATTCATTTTGTATTAATAATATTGATTAAATTAAAAGTATTGTTAATATTTTTTTTATTTACACCTCTTTTGTTAGATTTCGTTTCTCTGTTATAACTTATATTCATCATAACAGTAAATCTTGTTTTTTTTTTTGCTTTGTTAACATTGTGTTTTAAGTCTAAATTTCCAGAAAATGGAGCATGTTGAGCAACTAACTAATGCTGTTGTGGAGGAAACTGCTGACTTTGCTCAAAGTACAAGGACTTTGAAGGATTTTGATCAACTTATCAGCACCTACAAAGACTACAGCCAAGGAAATGAATTGAAGAATGGCCATATTTTGTATTTTTACTACAACTGTAACAAAAATATGTCAGCTACATCTGCCTTCATACTAGATGTTCTGATGAATCAAGAACTCAGTGGATTAGTTATTGCCAACAAGGTTAAAAAAATGTTTGCAGAACTCTCAACAAAGAAGAAAAACATTCATAGACCTACTAATTGGTGTTCTATTGTGGCCCTACTTGACAAAGTTTTTGAAGCACCTATACCTAAAGGCAAGAGAGCAGAAAAATGTAAGGAAATAAAAGAACAGACTGTCAGCACATCCCATAGTCCAGCTAAAAAATTAAAGAAAGATTGTGAGAACTGCCCTAAACTGAGAAAAATTAACATCGCATTGGATACTGAGAACAAAAAAGTTGTGAAAGATTTGTACAAACAAATACATGATCTTAAAGCTGCGAACAAAAACTTGAAACATACTTTTGCTCCTTATAAAATCAATCAGGACAAGATGAGAAAAAATGCATTAATCAGACAGTTGAAATTAGAGCTTCAAAACTTAAAAAAATCAAATGCTCCTAAACCAGTAAATAAGAGCTACAAAGATATTAAGAAGCTGAACAAAAAACTAAACACAAAAATCAGTATGCTTAAAACAAATATCACTGATCTAGAAAGCAAACTTGCCGATGTAATGAAAGAGATTGATCTTGTAAGAAATGAATCCAGCCATAACCTAGAATGTGCTGAATATTTTGAAGCCATGGCTGAAGAAAATATACCAGAAGAAACCATAAATCCAGTAGAAGAAAAAATGTATAATGCTCCAATGCGTAAATCCATGTTCATGTGTTTAACCAATCATGTTCCTGTTTGTTCAGCTTCTGAAGTAGTTGCATATGTTGTTAAGCAATTGACTGGCAGAATACTAACAAGACTTCCACATTCAACCACAGTGGCTCAGATGGCGTATGAATTGGGAGTTTTGTCAGATTTACAAGTGGCTGAAAGTATTCTTTCAAACAACAACATAACCATTTCTTGGGATGCAACTAGCCTGGGAGGTTCACATATCAATGAACTGCATATATCTGAGGAAAGTGGCTCCCTCACTGTTAACATCAGAGATCTCCCAGGAGGTAAGGCTGTTGACTATTCAGACCATGTGTGTGATGCTTTAGTCAGAGTGGCGACTACTTATGCAGCATACCATGGACTTGAAGTCAACTCAGTTAAAGAGAAACTATTTAAGGCAATCACCAACACCTTAACTGATCGTGCTCCTTCAAACCATGCTGCTGTAAAACTACTAAACATTGCTTTTAACACACACCTTTTAGAGCTCAACTGTAATGTTCATCCATTAGACAGCTTAGCACTGGTTGCACGCAAAACTCTGGAATCCTTAGATGGTGCAGGAAAGGCTGTAACTTGCATTCATGGCCTTTCCCAGATGAGGTGATTACTGTTCTTTAATGCATTCATATTTTTCAACTATCTATTGTGCTACACAATTCTTTTGTTATTTCTTTACATATCTTAGCTCATTATTTTTGTCATAGGTATAAACAAGTAAAAGGTGATCCCGCTGGATTTAAGACATTCTTGAGGGCCAACAACTTGCCCCTAGGATTAGTTGTTAGATATGTTGGAAACAGGTTGCAAGTACTCTTCCACATGGCTGGTGTGATTGTTTCCAACATTGAACATTTTAAAACATACCTCAGGGATGTCTGCTCTCTCAAGTCAAGTTTGAAGTCTACACTGCTGAATAACTTACAAGATGACAACACAATTAAGCAGCTGAAAGCATTAGCCTTCTTTGGCAAAGTACTCACTGGACCTTGGATGAGTCTTTTCTACAGTAATGAAAGAAAGAATCTAGAAATGGTAAGGTCATTCAGAGTTTAAAATTGTGAATCTCATATCTTTTATTTGATAAAAGTTATAATTATAATTCATATAATCATTCATTCAATTTTAATTATTTATTTTATTTTTAGGCATCTGACATTCAGAGGTCAAACACAGTCCTTTTAAGTTTCGTGAGTGATCCTCAGTTGATGCTCTCTGCAACGAAGGATGTGTTTGGAAATGACATTGGTGACCCTGCTTTCCATCACTATGTAGCTGATGCAGATGACTACCAGCTGATGGTGATGGAAAGATTGGCTGGTGCATTTCAAGCCAAACTGAATGCTCAGTTAAAAGATTTCCAGGCTGGAGGAATCTATGCTCAGCCATCCAAAGAAATGCTGGCCCAAGCAGCATCAGCACCAACCCACAACATTTGGTCAGAGAGGTCTCTTGGGATGACAGATTATCTGTGGCGCAGATCTCCCAATGCTACTTTTGGATTTTTGGATGGCAAAGTGAAAGCTATAACAAACAAAACTGTACAATGGCTGGAGAAACAAGAAGATGAAAGTAAGTTGATCAAGTTTGCTGTGACAAGAGGTGGACAGATAAAAAATGAGGAACTAAAAAGACAGAAGGCTCTGCAATTTGAAGTGAAGGCTCGACAAGAACTGGCTATAAAGAAGAAAGACACTGCTACCAGAAAGCGCATTTCAGATCAAATTAAAAGTACTTTGTACAAAAAACAACCACTGAATACAGATCTACTGGAAAAAACACCTCTTGTCTCCAAAGATATGCTGCAAAAACTGGTCTTTCATCCCGACACACTACAAGGCTCAATCATATCACACGTGTGGGATGTAGATGGCTCAAATACAAAATTTTATGGACATATTAAGAAAATGAAATGCGCTAAAGAAAAACTGATGTTAAAGATAGCATACTGGAACCCTCTAGATGAGAATGAATTTTTGGCTACTGACTATGAACTTGAACTGGCAAATGTAATAACAGACCTGGTGATGGGAGATCTGCTCTTTCTGGATAAAGATATGATCAGGTAACAAATATTTCTTGGTTTAGCAAAATCTAACTTTAAAATTTATTATTCATAATGTAATAAAAAAACAGTTCAAAATGTAATACTTGAACATAACTACTGCAACATGTATTAAGCTGATAACAACTGGCTATTATTTTGACAGCAAAGAATAATTGAAACTGGATAATGATGAACTACATCTTAAAACATATGGAATGCACTAGAACTGGTAAATATTTTTAGTAATATTTTTGGCTAGTTTTATTAACAGGATAATATATTTTACATTTAATAAAAAAAAATTGTTTATAGAAAACATCAAGACCACAGATGATCTACTTCTTCAGGATTGTCCGCAAGGTTAATAGATAAGGTAAATATAAGTCCTTAACCTTTCCTAAGCAAATCTATAAAACTGAAAGCACTGTTTATTAAGTATTATTTTTATATTCTAATAGAATGACACTTCAAGATCAATGTTGAGCCACTTCTTCAGGATTGTCCGCAAGGTTAATAGATAAGGTAAATATAAGTCCTTAACCTTTCCTAAGCAAATCTATAAAACTGAAAGCACTGTTTTTTAAGTATTATTTTTATATTCTAATAGAATGACACTTCAAGATCAATGTTGAGCCACTTCTTCAGGATTGTCCGCAAGGTTAATGGATAAGGTAAATATAAGTCCTTAACCTTTCCTAAGCAAATCTATAAAACTGAAAGCACTGTTTATTAAGTATTATTTTTATATTCTAATAGAACGACACTTCAAGATCAATGTTGAGCCACTTCTTCAGGATTGTCCGCAAGGTTAATGGATAAGGTAAATATAAGTCCTTAACCTTTCCTAAGCAAATCTATAAAACTGAAAGCACTGTTTATTAAGTATTATTTTTATATTCTAATAGAACGACATTTCAAGATCAATGTTGAGCCACTTCTTCAGGATTGTCCGCAAGGTTAATGGATAAGGTAAATATAAGTCCTTAACCTTTCCTAAGCAAATCTATAAAACTGAAAGCACTGTTTATTAAGTATTATTTTTATATTCTAATAGAACGACACTTCAAGATCAATGTTGAGCCACTTCTTCAGGATTGTCCGCAAGGTTAATGGATAAGGTAAATATAAGTCCTTAACCTTTCCTAAGCAAATCTATAAAACTGAAAGCACTGTTTATTAAGTATTATTTTTATATTCTAATAGAACGACACTTCAAGATCAATGTTGAGCCACTTCTTCAGGATTGTCCGCAAGGTTAATAGAGAGGTATAAAATTTGCTATTATATTACTTTCATTTTTATACTGTGTAACATATACTAAGTACTAGTGTCATATTTCAGATACAGACCATACTTCAGCAAAAAATAAAAATCCAGCCTTTTATTCAATTATGAGCCAGTTCTTCAGGATTGTCCGCAATGCCAGGAGTGAGGTAAAAGTCATTTTGATTTTTAATTCTCATTTTAATTTTTAATAATCATTTTTAATTATTGTTTTGAAAGATTGCTTGATTAAATGTATTATATCTAGAAAGAGACCACCCAACTACATTTAATATGAGCCAGTTCTTCAGGATTGTCCGCAACGCAAGGAGTGAGGTAAAAGTCATTTTAATTTTTAATTCTCATTTTAATTTTTAATAATCATTTTTAATTATTGTTTTGAAAGATTGCTTGATTAAATGTATTATATCTAGAAAGAGACCACCCAACTACATTTAATATGAGCCAGTTCTTCAGGATTGTCCGCAACGCAAGGAGTTAGGTAAAAGTCATTTTAATTTTTAATTCTCATTTTAATTTTTAATAATCATTTTTAATTATTGTTTTGAAAGATTGCTTGATTAAATGTATTATATCTAGAAAGAGACCACCCAACTACATTTAATATGAGCCAGTTCTTCAGGATTGTCCGCAACGCAAGGAGTTAGGTAAAAGTCATTTTTAATTTTTGATTCTCATTTTAATTTTTGATAATCATTTTTTAATGATCATTTTGATTCCTTTTGAAAGATTAATTGTATTTTATTTCAGAAAGAGACCACTCAGCTACAATGAATATGGGCCAGTTCTTCAGGATTGTCAACTTTTCTCAGATTAAAGATAAATGTTTTTAATTTCATTTTCTAAACATTACTACAATAATTAATGAATTGAAGTAGGGCTTTCCAAAATTCAGATTAGTAACTTTACATTTTTTTTCAGGTATATATTTCAATATTTTAACTACACACCAGTTTGTTGGATTATCGAACAAGTTCAAAAACTGTAAGTAAAATGCGGAAACTTGAAGGCTTGACGAATGATCATTGCTGAGGTAAGAAACATTTATACTTAAAATATGAAGCACTTAACTTAGAAACACAAATATTAAACTTATACCCCATTTATAATAAATTCATTGCTTGTTTGCTTTTGTTTTTAAAATAAATACTTTATTTAAAATCAAATTTAATGAGTTTTTTTTTTTTTTAATAAGCTTTATCAGAAATTGCATCGTAAAAACTTATAGTTTCAAAATTTTTTAAAGGTTTATAAAAGAATTAACATTATCTATTTACTTACCCATGTATCTTTATTCTGACCAATTTTGAGCTCAATATTTCAAATAGTTAAAATTTTAACTGAGATTCAGTAAAAACGTGGTTACAAAAATAAAGGGTGGTACCCTCTTATACCCAATATTTTTATTAAACAGACAGATTTTAAACAAAGGTTTTGAGTTTTTCTGTTGAAGGATAGAGTAAACTAGAATCAGGCTAATTTTCAGCTTTAAATTCTTATTAGTTCAAATTTGACTTAATTTTTCTTTTACTTTTTGAGAGAATATCGGTTTTGCGAAAAGTGTAAAAATAAGCAGTATAAAGCCTTAAAAATAACAATTTTTAACTTTTTGACATATTTTTTGATAACATTAAGAAACACATCCATATTTCTTTTAATTTAACCTATTTTGAACTTGATAACTTATATATTTTCAGTTTTAAGTGCAATTATATAAAAGCAATATCTTTGCAAAAATAGGGGGGGTCCCCTTTCTCACTGCAATTATTTTAAAATTCCACCTATAAATTTCTAATTTTTTTGTTTATTATGCTTATATATATGATAAATAAAGTTTCTACAAAGTTATAACAAATTTGATCGCTTGGTTTACTGGCTATGACAATTTTAGTAAACGCTTAAAAAAACTCTATCACAGAAATTGGAAAAAAACCTATGTTAAAAAAACCGCTCTTTTTAATACGAAAAAAAATCATAACTATTTAACCGTTTGAGCTACATCAAAAAGGAAAACTGTTCTGTTATTGTAATTTTTTGCTCCTTTTAACTGTAGTGGTTGTTTCCCTATTAAACCAATTTTCAAAATTTATCCTAGTACCTACTTATTGCTATAACTGATAGTAGTGTACAATACATAGGGTCTACAATAATCTTTTAATCTAAAAAAAAAAGTCTTGCTCTATAGATCTAGAACTAATCTAGATTCTATGCCTAGAATAAACTCAAGAATCTGGACCCTAGCTGAGAGTAGAGCCTAGAATCTGTGCTAAAATGCAGCTTAATTGACTTTGCATGCTACTAACTACTAACTAGATCTAGACTGTCGAGATCTAGATTAGATCTAGACTCTAGTAGATCTACTAAATCCAGAGGTATCGAACTGCCGCTTGAGATGCTTTTATTATTATCTTCCCAAAATATTTTTAAAATTTTTTTAATCATTTAAAAATCAAAATGCCCAGTAAAGGGACATAATCTTTAAGTTTAATTAAACTAGACCTAGACTTAAAATTTATGAAACCCAAGCTTTAATGCTAGGCTTTTCGTGTAATTAAGGAATATTCTCAAGAAACCTAGTTTTTAAAAATTATTTACATAAATGAATTCACCTTGAAAGTAAACTCACAAAACTTATCAACTCATTTAACTTTTGTCAGTCTAGGCCTAGCTTAACCCGAATGTGCCAATAGTCAGGAAAATGGCGACCCGTTTGATTGGTCACTAGGAAAAATGATAAAATAGAGAATAAGAGGAGCTTCAGCTTGATTAAAGCCACATTCTAAACTAAAATTGGAAGTGCTTGTTAAACCAGTGTATCACATGCATTAAAAAAAATATCAAAAAAGAAATAAAATCTAATACCATTCATAAGCTTCAAAAGAGCAAGCATGCCATAAACAAAAATGTGGGGGAAGGGCGGATGGCTAAGGAAGACTACAATCAAACGCATGCGCACTATATTTTTATTTTTATCCATTTGGTAGCCAAACTTTTAGACTAATCGTACTCGTTTAATTTAAGCAAAAATAGCTATTACATAGTCTATTTAACATTTATTGAAAAAAAAAAATGAAAATATTTTACTTGTATCTAGAATTTATTTTCCATGTACATGAAGAAATACGTAGATGTAGATTCTATATACACAATACGAGTAAAAGTCTTACACTCATTAACCGACAGGAACATGCCAAATTTATTTTGAAATAATGCGTAGCCTAGAACTACACATATTTTCCGCTAGCGCCCTCCGAGAGGAAATTTTTGTTTTGTGCTGTAGTACCAGAAATCAGAAGGACAAAAGGTGTTAGGGTTTGTCCATATATAAAGGCACACAATTTAGATGATTACAAATCATTCCCTTCCTTAAATAAATGAAACTCCTTCAAGGTGGCGTCGATAAGCGAAGGGTGGGGGAGGGGGGGGGGGGGGTGGAGAGAAGAGACGAAGGGGAGTTTGTACCGTTACACTTATTGTAAAACGTGATTTTTCAGAGTAAATTATTTGCAGTTATATTGTATTATTTATTATTAACATTTATTTATAAGTTTAAAAAAATACAATTTGATTCACACACGTAATCGTAATTTTTTTTTTAGAGAAAAAAACTGCTTAACAATATTGTACCACGTGTGGGGGTAGGTTAAAATATAAAGTCATTTTTATATTTTAGCTAAGGGTGACATTACACTCCTGGAGAAGAAAAGAGGGTTCTGACTGTGGAGAAGAAAGTAAGACAGTGTGATAGGATATCTTTAAAAAAAATGTTAAGACAAATTTAAAAAAAAAATTCTATTAGAATTGTTTCTTATTTAGTTTGTTAGCAGGAAAGAGGGGTGGGGGATAAATGATTTGGTAGGGGAAGAGGCGTAGCGAGGGGGGGGGGGGTGCGGACCGGCACCGGGTGACACCATTAGGGGGGGGGGGTGACACCAAGACAAAAAATAATAAAATATATAGAGAAAAATTTGAGGCGGGGGTGCAAATCGAAAATTGAAAGTTTGTCCCCGGGAAGAGTCGCTAAGGGGGCATCCATAAATTACGTCACGCTTTTTTGGACGAATTTTACCCCCCCCCCCCCCTCCCCACCGTCACACGTCGTCACAAAAAGCCAGACCCCCCCCCTAAAATGACGGTAAACGGAAAAAAAGTCACAGGAAAAAAAAAACACAGAAAAAAAGTCACAGTTTTTGCTAGGAAAAAAAGTCACAGAAAAAAAGTCACAGTGGAAAACATTTTTGGAAAAAAAGTCACAGAAATAAAGTCACAAAAAAAAAGTCACAAAAATATTTTTAGAAATATTTTTTTTATTTGTTTAGAATCGTAAAATTTTGTATTTTTATTGTTGTGGGTTGTATTTTTTATAGCATAAATTATTTATAGACATTAAAAGCATTATGGTTTATTACAATTGTAAATACTCTAATATAATTTACACAACAATCTCAACTTTTGTTACGTATTTAGTTAAAAACGCGGTAGAAAATTTAATTATAAAAGAAATTTAGGCACATTTTGCCGTAGGCTATTCTCTGGTCGGCCTCTCCTCAGTAGGCATTGTCCGAACATATTTTGTGTTGTTGACGTCATGCGTCAATGACAGCCTTTGAACCTTGTCGGCTTTCTTTTTTTATCCTAAGTGTTGTTATGTAATGAGCGTGATAAATGTGGGCAGTAAAGGTGGTTGAACTAAACATAACTATTGTGGCCATGAGTTGAGGGCAGCAAGTCAGACGAACTTACCATTTCACGGTAATTTAATGTTGGTATATAAAAAAAAAAAAAACAGGATTAAAACCGTGGACTTTGGAGCATTCTATTAAACGCTACTAATCTTAAGTTTAAAATAATTACAATCTACCTACTTCATACTAAATATTTTTAGATGAATTATAAAAATTCCTATGCGTATACAGCCTACACACATTACATTACATTTAATTAATCCTAAGTTAATTTGCACTCTCTGAATATTTAATACATAAAAGTATTAACAAGTATCATGCAAATATATATTTGTGACTTTTTTTCCTGTGACTTTTTTTCCTGTGACTTTTTTTCTGTGTTTTTTTTCCTGTGTTTTTTTTTCCTGTGACTTTTTTTCCTACAATCAAAATGACGTCACACCTCAGCCTATGACCAGAGGCGTATCGAGGGGGGGGGGGGGGCGGGGGGGGGGGGACATATGTCCCCGGGCGCCGATCTTAGGGGGGCACAAATTGAAAGTTTGAGGGGGGGGGGTAGTGCAAATGAAAAGTTCGAGGGGGGTGCAAATCGAAAGTTTGTTTGAGGGGGGGGGGGGGTGCAAATGAAAAGTTCGAGGGGGGGGGGTGCAAATGAAAAGTTTGATGGGGGGTGAAAATCGAAAGTTTGTCCCCGGGCGCCGGGAAGGGCCGCTACGCCTCTGCCTATGACCCCCCTCAAAATTGCAGTTGAATTTTTCTTAAAACATTTTTCCAAAATCTTATCAGAACTCTGTCAACATATAGTATTTTGATCAATTCCTATTACAATTAATTAAAACCGTCTTCTAAATCGCGAAATAACGGCTAAAACTCGTCTTCTAACATTGCTTTTTAATAATTCAAAAAGTGACGTCACACCATCTGAACCTCCCCCCCTACCCCTCATCACACATCGTGACAAAATTACGGATCCCCCCTACGAGTGTGACGTCATTTATGGACGACCCCTACGCCTCGGGGGGGTGACACCATTAAGTGCCGCACCGAGTGACACCCGACCTCGCTACGCCACTGGGTAGGGGTCTTGCTTTTTGTGGTGATATAAGATGATAGGGTCAAGAGGGGCTTTAACATAAAAAAAAATCATTCATTGATTGGGTCGACCCATGAAGACATGGAAATGAAGGGTGCTGTGAAAGGACAGGAAAGAATTGAGAAAAGCTGAAAAGCGCGGAATGAGCTTGTAGTGACTGGTATGTTTTGACAGAGGAACAAAAAAAAATTTGAAAAAAAATATTGCAGATTCTTCAGTTTTTTGTACATATTGTAGGCTTAGTCCACAACACTTCCATAGTAGAATCTACATGCTCACAACTTCCCCACCTCAATCACAGAATTCTTGAGTAAATTGTCTTGCTAAAGAGCTGTGCTCTAGTTTTAAAATTCTACATCTATCTGTCTGTCTGTCTGTCTGTCTATCTATCTATCTATCTATCTATCTATCTATCTATCTATCTATCTATCTATCTATCTATCTATCTATCTATCTGTGACACCATTTAGGGGGGGGGGGGGGGTTGACACCAAGGCAAAAAATTGCAAAATGTACAGAAGAAAAAGGTTTTTTTTGCCAGATCCATTTATGATTAATTAAATTTACATAGTCTTTTATGAACAAATCAACAAGAGGGTGGGGGTTTGACACCATGAAGTAAACGTGCTAACTATAGAGAAAACATTGCTACATCCAACTGTATTGTTAACAGACTATAGATAAACATCATTACTATTAAGCCTGCAGTGATTAAAGCTTATACACATACATGTATGCATATGTGGGATATATTTATATTACAGGCCTATGTAGGCAGACACACACATTATATATACATATATATATATATATATATATATACACTTTGTTTCTTGGGAGGGGGTGACAACACTAAGTATTACACAGGGTGACACCTGACCTAGCGACGCCACTGCAATATATTACCAATATCCTCAAACAATGGCCAGATACAAAAAGTTATTTTTAAATGTCACTTTCTTATTTATAGTTTTAAACTTTTATAGGCCTTTTTTGTATAAATTTGTCAAGAAATGTTTACACCTTCAGGATAAATATTCCATGCCTCCCCCAGTTAGGGATACTAAGAAGATAAGGTTGTTGACACAAGCAGTTTACACACGTTTCATCAAACACAAAAAGTCTTACCATTGGGTAACTGTGTATAATAGTAAATAATCCTGTTGTAAAAACCCGAGTCAAATAACTAGATAATTTAAACACGAAACAAAATAAATTAAAATTCATATTTAAGTGCTATCTTCTCATGAAATTTTTATTCTTGATGATATACTGAATACAAATGACACATTAACTAATCTCTGTTCCAGGTTAATCAAGCTTTGAAAAGAAATCTACCAAAGGAACAGTCAAATGGTATGCTGAGAAAAATATAACTGCTCATTGCCTTACAGAGTACAATACTTCTACATAACATATGAATAAAGAACATAAATTCTGCTATGACGCCATAAGAAATTTATTGCATGCACTGACATTTACCCCATACATTACATACAAAATAAATTTAAAATAAAAGTTATATGTATTTCCATTGAAGTATATAAGTATTGAAATTCAATAAATGTACATGGACAATAAAATACTGAAGACATGATCAATTGCTGCCTAAAGCAACGTATATCATAGTGTAACTGTAGCATTGTTGAATCATTAATTTTTAAAAATTGTAATGCTAGAATGAAGAGGAGATAATGAATAATTAATGTAAACAAGTTTGAAACATATTAAAAAAATATTATATATATATTCGAGTAAATCAAAAACAGTAATCAAAGCTATCTTATTATAATAGAACAATTGTCAATGACTTGAGACCTACTGTACAGGTTTATACCTAGATCATTGTTAAAAAAATAAAATTGTTCCCGAAAGCTGCACACAAATGGACAGGGAATTATATAGTCTGATAGATGCATATATCAACTCAATTTTAATATACATACAATTGTTTATTTCAGCGACTGTTGCCTCTGCTGTTGGCTGGGTAGCAGACGGAGAAATGCACTCCACACTGTCAGATCTGCCTCAGTCATGCATTGATAACTCACTGAGGCAACATTATATTAGTATACAGGACAAATCCAATTTGTCCATAAAACTTATTCACAAGAAAAATAAGTTTTAAGTTTTCACAATAACAATTATATTTTTATAACAGTACACTTGGAAAATATTTGCCAAACTGAAAATAAATGGCCATTTTTTAATTTAAAAATTAGACATATTGCATTTCTTCTACATAGTCAAAAAACAATTATGCGAAAGTGCCTATCAAAAATAAAAATTCGTAAAGTTTCATCTTTCTGTGACCTCTGCATATGAAGGGATAGTGTAGTTAGGACTATGCCCAACAGCCTTTATATTCCCTAGCGTGAGTTAGGTACTCAGGGATGTTCAAACCCGGATTCAAACTCGCAACTTTTGAGTTACCAGCCTAGAGCTCTACTGCTAGGCCACACTTTCCCATCTTATCAAATATATACACATTTTATTTTTACTGTGAATATTTTAAGATTAATCCATATTTATGTCCATTTTATCAACTTGTTGATCATTATTACACTTAAGCCTTTTATTAGAGTGGGGGTGGGGGAGTGGGGTGGCATAGGGCAAGAGCAGTTACAGTATGAGAGCTTTTGTAATTTAATAAGGGGTCCATAGAAAAATGCTGTTGTATTTTAATGAATTATTAATTTCCAAGACTGTGTTGATGTTATTATAATGGAAAAATTAGCTTTAAAATGAGAATACATACAACTTCTGTGTTATTTCTGCATTAATTTGTAAAATTTCTATTTTGGGTGTTTCCAGGCTCTTTAAGTCTAGTTAGTGATACATGAAAGTAGAGTTAAGTTGTTTCAGCAGACTTTATAACATTCATTCTGTAGAAACCCTAACACAACATTTAATACATTGCTTGAAACAGGTTGAGAAAAAACATTTCACAGAAAATAATGAAAAGGAAGCTTAGGAATCTGGAAGCTAGTTTAGTTTTAAACAGGTAACATTAACATAAATACAATACATAAAAATTCTTCATTCTCTCCCCTTGACCCATTTCACTGTAAATGACACAATAAAAAGTAAAGTTACACTTTTGAACCTGGAGGTCCATGGGGAGGTTATAGTTCACCTGTTTCAGTGACCTCAGTAAATGATGGGATAGGGCGGTTAATACTTTCCTTTCCACATTGTGAGTCAGATACTCAACAGAGCTGGGTGGACTCCTATGGACTCAACACCCAGATATGAACTCTTCTAGGTTAGCAACCAAGCTTAGACTATAGTTGTATCACATTGTATTGTAATGATGCCCTGAACATTGTTATAACACATTGCCACACACTACAAACATGAAAATTATATAAATGTCTATTATGCAATAGATAAATAGATTTTTTGAGAATGAACATGTCACATCAGCGCTGAATTCCCTGATAGTTTAAACTACTGAGTTGTTATTGGTGAAGACTTACTGAATTGTTTAGTTACTGGTATGAATGAAAAATCAATATGTAAAAGAGTAAAGGAGAAACAGTGTTACAGAATCAGTAAAAAGAAATATGGGGTTCATCAATGAGATTTTCTGCGAGGTGCAGAAAACATCAATATTAGAACATAAGTTGAGAAATATTGATGTACAATTTTTAAAGGGTAATTTAAAAAAAAAAAATCAAAGCATAATTTATGTTTATATGTGTTCTAAAGTACTTGTTTCCATATTTATTTTGTACATATTTTTTTTATATGCATAAATCTGATTATCAGACCTTTGTTCCTTTAAATTTAGAAAACAGTTTGATATTCAAAACAAATATACAAACAAATTTTCTTTAATTTAAATAAATTACACTCATAAAAATTTGAAACAATAAAGGATGTGAACAAAATATATTATTAGAAAAGGGTTTACCAAGACTATAGAAGGTTCTAGATTTGCGTAAATTACTCAAATTTATTTTAAATAAACAGAAAAAAGGTATAAAGGCTAAATAATAATTTTTATTTTAGAGGAAATAAATATGGTATATATATTTTGTTCAACTAAACCTCAACTTTTTACTCCCTTCCTTAATAATGATTTTTTTGATAAATAATAAAATTAAATAAATAAAAAGGTTAAAGTGGCTAAAAAATACCCAAACATATCTTTAATTCATATGGTTAAATTTTTCAGCTATATTATAGCTATTTATAATTATCAATATCTTATTCTAAACTCAACAACAGTATCAGAAATAACTTATTCTGAAACTCTAAATATAGTGTATGTTTAAAACTATAGAAAACTGAAATGAAAAAAAAAAATAACAGTAAAACTAAAAATAATAATTCTTATTATAGTAATGTAATATCAATATTTCAACAACAATAATTGTAATGCTTTTGATAGCGCAATCACACAAATAATGATAAATATCCTGACAACATATACCATACAAACATTAAAATAAAAATATTTACAGATGGTTACAATTATGCAGTTAAAAAGGAAGATTACAAAATCATGAATATAAGTTGTAGAGGTTGCTTCTCCTTATGAACATGAATATTAATCATCATGAAAGCATTGTATGCAGGCTTTTGTACAGGGGGGGGGGGGGGATTCTTTATAGGTCTATCTATATATATAATTCTCTTCTTCGAGCCGTTAGAAAACAAGCTGCAAACGCTCTCCCTACCTCCCCACCCCTACATGGTTTTAGTGAGCTGTGTTCACTCTAAATGTTTACAAGCAGAGCCAATGATTTTAAACGTAGGGGGGGGGGGGGGGAGGAGGGGGGGGGGGGGGGAAGGAAGGGGGGGTTATGGTCCTTAACGAGCTACTTATAGTGTTTTAAAGAAATATTTTCAGTGTCAGCGTTGGTACTGTCGAATTCACAAATTATGAATTATTGAAAATTAGAAACAACTAAATAGCGGCGTATGTTATGCCGCGGGCCGGCTCGTATATTTTAATTTAAAAACAACATGAACATGCTGTTGCCCGCCATATAACTTATTATGAGGCCGCTGTTATACCGTAGTTTCATGAGGATGATGTGTGTTCTAAACCTTCTAATCACCCCCACCAATGAACCCCCCATGAAATTATAAACAGGTAACATGTTTTATGACTAGCAGTAGCAGGGCTAAAGAGTGTTATGTGGAATTACTGACAAAACGTCTCTCCATTAATACACAAAATAACATCTTAAATCAAAAGGAAAAAACTACTTAAAATATAAGTTAGTTATCTTAAATATTTTGAAAAAATACAAGGGGCCACAGTTATGTTCAGGTAAATGAGATATAAGAAAAATACAAGTAAAACTTAAGGAATTGTTGTTCTTATAAAACATTAATAATAATAGGACAATAATGCAACAATAGTGAGGCAATAAAAAACTACATTTTAACAAAACACTGCATTTACAATTGCAACATGTATACTATAATTGTATAGAAAAAAAAACTCACAACAAGTATACGTGTTCCGTGGGATAAATGTTTTCATTGAACATTCATTATTGCGAGTTTTTTTCTCTAGACATGTAAAGTACACATACCACTGTGTAAACACAGAAAGCTGTAAGAAACACCCATCTTTCATCCTCATCAATAAAGTCATATCATAAATCTTTCATCATATTTTTCTACAAATTTGTGAATTTTGTACATTTGAATTTTCTTTAAATTTAAAATTTTGTTATCAATTTAAAAGTGAAATTTATTAACGATAACAATGAACAATGTGCCCAATTTTGTAACCATTACCAAATTAAATTTGCTATTATTATATTATTGCTGTTTCTTTTGATGGGATGTTTGTTAGATGTATAGGTCAGGGCAAGTACTTAGGATGTTATACTGCAAAAAAAACAACCCAATAATTTCATGCCTTGAAATTATTTTAACAAGCACCAGAATTATGAACTCTTTATTTCTTAAGGTTTCTTTTTGTATAATACTTCAAATCATAGGCTTCATTAGAGGTTAACAAAAAACTTCAAAAAGAATACATCAAGTTACAACAACAGAAGTATTGCTTCACCATCTAAAAGGTGTAATGACTAACAATGATTAGGAATTATTTTTTAGCAAGAACAATCCAAACATAAGTACAGCTCAAATTCATATTGATTGCAAAAAAATCTAAAACCAAGAGTGGCACATTTATATCTAACACAGTACTTATAAATTAAATATCTAGCCATCTTACTCTATATAAGCCAACCACACATTCAACTTTGAGTATTCTTACTATGTATCTGTACATGTCTACGAAGCTTGGAGCTTTCCAAAAATCTTTTATCACACACTTCACACGCGTACGGCCTCTCACTTGAATGTGTACGCATATGTCTGGTGAGCTTACACTGTTCCACAAACTTTTTACCACACTCTGCACACCAATACGGCTTGCCACCATGGACTTTCCTGTGCCGGGTTAAATCTCTCATGTGGTAAAATGAATAGTCGCAGTCCTCGCACTTGAACTGCTTGATCTTCAGGTGACTTCTCTCTATGTGGCAGACCAAGTTAAAATGAGTATTGAAAGTGTGGCTGCAGTGGTCACATTTGAACATGTTCTTGTTGCAGTTGTTGTTCTTATGCCTGATCATCTTGTACTTTAGATCGCACGTGAAGCCGCAAAGTTTGCACTTGAAAAGCTTATCCACAAGACCCAAGTCATCAAGGTTATGCCTGGAAATGTGCACGTCAAGCTTATCTTTGTGGGAGTAGCTCTGGCCACATACATGGCACACAAATGGCCTGATTCCCAAATGGGTTAACTTGTGCCTGTTATAGCTGTACATGTGGCCAAATATTTTACCACATTGGTCACACTTGTATGGTGCCTTGCGCTTGTGAACCTGTGTTAATTTTGATGCAGAATTTACTACCTTTATAGAGGCATCAGGATTTTGCTTCATAACATCATCCGTGTCAGCTTCATCCCCCGTGTCCACCTCCTGCATGTCTAAACCATTCTCCTCTTGATCATCAACATCCACCCCTGGGGTAACCAGGTCATCTGATTTACTTTTAGAATTGAAACTACTATTTGAGTGATTGTCTTCATCTTGGCCCATGTTAGCCATTAAAAGTTTATTGTAATCATCCTTACCAATATGCATCTTGAAGAGGTGAAGTTTTAACTTATCCCTACGCGAGTAGCACCTAGAGCAGATAGGGCACTGAAAAGGTTTCTCACCTGTATGTGATAGCAAATGCCGGCTGAGCCTGTAGCTACCCTGAAAAGCCTTGCCACATATTTCACACTCCTTTGATTTTAAAGGCGCTCTCTTTCTTTTCCGACCAGGTTTCTTACCGTTTTCAATTTCACCAGAGGAAAGGTTTTTCCCACCAGACGGTTTCTCCCCAGCGAATGAATTATCAGCATCTGTAGAATGTTTTGAGGCCGTGCAGCTGTTGTCTGTTTCCATGTCACTTCCAGGCTTCCTTGCCTTAGCCTTGGGCTTGCTGTCAAGGCTATCATCCAAATCATCCTTTTCCATATGCCTTCTCATATGTATATTATAGCCATCTTTACGAGTGAAAGTTTTGTCACAGAAATTACACCTGTAAGGCTTTAACCCAGTGTGCACACTCTGATGCCGTTTCAGTTTGTATGGACTTGAGAACACAGCGTCACAATACTGACAATCAAACTGCCGATTACGCACTGGTTTCCTGAAATAGCTCATAAACATTGCAATGCTGTCGTGCGCTTTGAAAGTCTGAATTTCATTTTCATCTATCTCGGTTTTCAAAACCGTGGAATCAAACTCCCCCATCATGTTGTTCTCAGTCATGTTTTTGGACTCAGCACCATTAGAAAGTGTTGGCTCTTTAGAAGACAAATCTGGGTAAACAGCACCCTCAATAAAATCCGACACTGAGATCTTTTCTATAGTTTTTTTACGCTTACCCTTTGAAGTTTTATTCAAACCATTCTCATCCATTGAATTACCTGCTCCTGCTTTAGTAATATCACTGTTGCTAACTTCAGATATTTTATTACAGGAAGGGTCACTGATATCCAACTCCTCTAAACTTTCATCATCATCATCTTCAAAAACAATGTATTTTTCACCATCTTCTTCAATGACATGATATTTACTATTCTCCCTTTCATCTCTAACCTCCTCTACCTCATCTTTTATGTCAGGAGGTTGCTCACCCTCCAGTTTGCTTAATTCATTCTTCACTGAATTAAATTCTTCTCTAACGCAATTTAACTCTTTCTTTAAAGCATCATACTGACTTTTAATGGTGAAATATTTCAATTGTATATTCATGAACTTTTCTTTCACATTATTGAAAAGAAATTTATCCTCAGTCTTTGCCATTGCAGCAACCACCTTTGCATGAGCCTAAACTCCTAAACTAGCCAATTTGACAGCCTAACCTAGTTTTAGTAATATTTCACATAGGTCTGAAATGAGAGAAAAGAACACATTTTAACCACTATACTTTTACACAAATAATACAAGCATTTTCTTCTCACAATTTTCCGCCTCGCAATTTTGCGTTTTACCACTACAATGCATACCCCTCAGGGTGCCTGAAAGGAACACTAGTTGGCAGTTTTCTAGCACTAGTACTTAACTAAGTTAAGTCACTAGTAGTAGTATACTTATTACTAGACTAGATCTGATGTTGTAGTTCAGTTAACTGTTAAAGTGTAGCAGTCAAGTGATCTGCCCGAGCTAGCTAACTACTAATTATTTATACTAAATCTAGTAGAATCTACCTGTACATGTAGTCTAGTAGTACTAGTTACTACACTAGAATGAACTCTAACATAGTAATTACATAGGTAGAGCTACTGCTCTCGTACTATAATAATAATACTACATACTCACAGATAGGCTAATTACTAACTTGTCTTATTAATTATTAGGCTGATGCTAGCCGGAATAAGATGTGCATGCAACTTGCCATCGCGGCGCTGTTTTCGATGGTACTGCGCATGCGTGTGTTTACAACCGCAGAATCCTAACACCAACCCTAATCCTATCCCTAACCCTAGGTTACTGCACATGCACAGAGTCACAGAGCTATCTTTTGCTGACTAAGTGGAGACGTTGGGGAGAAAAATCTTCTTCCGAGTAGTCACTTCGTAATTATTAAGTAGTGAGGTACATACATACTACATAGGCCTACTAACTAATACTATAACGTAGTAGTAGTACGATACTATTTAGTAGTATTTACTTTACTATTTACTTACTAGAATCTAGATCTATCATCATCATAGGTCATACTCATCATAGACTCATATCATAGAGTCATAGGCCTACTCAAAATAATAGTGATTTAATTTACACAACAATTCAAAAGGGACAATGAGAAGTCTAGATCTAGATCTATCTAGAATCTAGATCTAAATCTAGAAATATTTAATCGTCTAGATCTAGATCTCCAGAAGATAGTCTAGCTATTAAAAATGAAGTAAATGAAGTCAACCTTTTCAATACAGAAGTGAGATTGGTGTCGAAACTGCGGCAAATCGGCGAATCTCAACCAGTCATGAACCAGTGCTTTTCACTTCAGTATTGAAATAAAATTGCATTTCATAGAGCTTGACCTATTAAACATATAGATCTAGATGTATATATAATCAGTAGAATGAAGAAGTTGTAAACAATATATAGCTCTAAATCAATATTAGAAATTCAGAAACTTACTTTTTCAACATTGTAACATAAAATAGTAAAAATAGTAAATACTAATCTGTTTACGGAATTCCAATGTTGCTTGACTTGTAAAGAAGAACTCTTTTGTTTTTGGTATCGATTCTTAATACAAAAATATAAATATACATGGAATACATGATAGAAATATATGTGGTTTTGCCTAATTGTTTAAAAAAAGTTACTGCATTTTTTAATAAAATCATATAGATCTAGATTCTAATACTAGTTCACTCGTTTTTAGGTGTTTACTAACCCATTTCGCTATATATAGAAATATAAAAATAACGTACCAGGTCCTATTTTCAGAATCGAGCTTATAAATACTCTAATCTACGAAGTTAAAATTAGCTTCTCGGATCCTACCATTACTAGAACTATCATTCAAAAGAGATTATTAGAAATTTTTATATTCCCCCAAAAAATATTAATTATTCATTGCTGCAGCGGGCATACTATGATGTGATTAACGGCCGATTAATAGAGTCGAGAGTATAATAAACACATGCTGCTTTGCTCATTTTAAGGCCGTTGGGCATCATACTCTTTAACCATCCTGAAACGTTGTCTCCAAACAAAACAGCCCCCCCCCCCCCAAACTTTTATTTTGCCTTCCCCATACCATGCAAATTGATTTTAATGCTGTAACTGTATTGGATTTTCAGCAGTAGCAGAACTAGATCCCAGTAGCGTAGCGAGGGGGGGACATATGTCCCCGGGCGCCAAAAATAAATTGAAAGGTTGAGGGGGTGCAAATCGAAAGTTTGAGGGGGGGGGGGGGGTGCAAATCGAAATCTTGAGGGGAGGGGGGCAAATCGAAAAGTTTGTCCCCGGGCGCCGGAAGGGTCGCTACGCCTCTGCTAGATCCCCCCTTCCCCGCAACAATTTTTGTTTTATATAGGACCCGTAATTTACGGTAGGTCTAGCCCTATATTTTGTAACACTTATAGTAAGGGGTCTCCACCTTCGCGAGACCCTCAAAAATGGTCTTAGTGAGCAATAGATAAACAAGCCCATGTTTAAGTATACTGCCGCTTAATTTGTCACAATGAAAACGCTAAACAGATTCGGTAACACCAAAAACTATAACTATAAATTAAAAGTTGCACTGAAAATTAAGAAAATAAAACTAACTAGCTTTCTTTAATAAAAGCTTTTGTCGTTAAAATATGCAGGCAGATGTTATAGATACACGATAAAATAATACTCACTTGTTACTGTTAGTACATCGTGCGCCAATAGGGCTTGTAAGTAGGTCACCAACCAGTTCTATGGCTCATGCAGGTTTTATTGAGCCATAGAACTGGTTGGTGACCTACTTACCAGCCCTTTTGCCGCTGAGAGGTAATGATATTTAATTAACGGACTGCGTGGTCGCATGCTAGAGCATACAACCGCTAACCCGAAATTCTTAAGAGCGAATCCCAGGTTACTGTCTTTAAAACGTCACTGGGTCCACCTAACTCTGATGGGTACCCGACTCACGTTAGGGAAAGTAAAGTCGGATTGACATAGTGCTCACTCCCCCTCCCTTTTTCCTTCTCGTATATACGAAGTAAAGAGAAAGTATTGTAAAAAGAAGAGATTTTTGTAAATCTCGACGTTTTACACCTCCATAAGTCGAAAAAGCATAGTTTTGCAATCTTGTCCGTATGCCTCTCTCTCTGTATGTGTGTGTGTGTGGGGGGGGGGGGGGGGTGACACCAAGGCAAAAAAAGTGAAATGTACAGAAAAAAACTGCATTTTTGCCAGATCCATGAATAATTAATTAAATTTTGTCTTTTAATTGGCAGTTATTACAAGAGGGTGGGGGTGACACCATGATGTAAACGTGTTAACAATAGAGAAAACAGTGCCACATCCAAATATATTATAAACAGACTTTAGATAAACATCGTTACTATTAAGTCTGCAGTGATTAAAGCTTATACACATACATGTACGCGTATGTGGCATATATTTAAATTATAGGCCGACATACACACACACACACACACACACATATATATATATATATATATATATATATATATATATATATATATATATATATATATATACTTTACTTTACTTATATATATATATATATATATACTTTATTTCTTTTGCTGGGGGGGGGGGGGGGGGACACCACGAGGACCGCTCCGGGTGACAACCAACCTAGCGACGCCACTGACTATAGTATATTAAAAAAAAAAACTGCCATCAAGCCAAAGAAGCACGACCATCAAACGTTCAAATATTTTTTTTTTTAAATTTTATTTATGGACGGCTGTGGGTCCACTAAAAAAGCCCTCTCCCTCCCCCCACTCGCATTGCAAAATTATGGCGACATAGTACCAGTTCCGCCAATGTTGTAGGCCTATCTTGAAGTGTTGAAGTTTGACCTTGGCACTACACCGTGTCTAATGAGTTAACTTGTAAGTAGTTTTATGATTCATCCTGCTCAATCTTTATGACATTTGTAACATAGAAGTGGTATTAGCCGGCTAGATCTCTGGTTAATATTTGTTTATTAGAGATACGGCTAATAGTATTACTAATTAATACTGAAACTTGTTAAGAAAAAACAATTTTTAAAAGTCAACTATCATAATATCAATCAGAATGGACCTAGAAAGTTTTGCAGTGGACATCCCTTTTATAGTATTTATCGGCGTGGTCGAGTCGGTAAAGCTCATAGTTGCTAAACTATGTTCGAACCTTCGGAAAGATGAGGCTCGACAGCCACTCATCTTGGAGAGACAACTCTATAAACAAACAACAGCTGCCTTGTCGTTTGTTCTTGGTTGGACAAATCTAAAAAGAAAAGCAGGCTAAAATCAAAGTCAACAATAGCGCTTAACCAGTTCACACTTATACTTAATTGTGTTGGAGGAAATCCTTTCCAACTCTATAATTAAGAACGAAGAAGTCCAAAACTAGCATTAAGAGTGGATTAAATGTATTCACTGCGAGGGTTTATTGGGAATATTGTGATAGTATAATGGTATGGTTTTAAATATAGTTTTTTTTTTAAAAATTGCGACATAAGATTATACGATTTTTGTATCTAAGAGTGTAGTTTAATTTTAAGGTTTTTAATATAGATTTTTTTTTAAATTGCGACATAAGATTACAATATTTTTGTATCTTAGAGTGTGTATAGGGGGAGGGGGGTTTTTGCAGTGATTTTTGTAAAATCAAAATTAACATAGGTTGTTGTAACACAGTTTGATAAATCTAAAAAAAACATTGAATATGGTAACAAAGTAGAATTTTGATAGAAGCATAAAAACCTTTTTCACACATTCTGTGCTAACCGTACAAAAAAAAAGTGATCACGAGTATTCCAAATTCAAAATCTACTGAAGTATTGAAAGTAAGCGAGTACTGAAAAATATCAGCATGTAGGTCCAGCATATCAACGAATACAACCAAAGTATTTTTAAAAAATTATAACTTTCGACCTACCTTTTGTAGGCCTATCACTTCACACACCTAACCTACGATCAGAGGCGTAGCGATGGGGGGTGGGGTGGGGGTGGGGGGATGGGGGGGGACACATACGTCCAGGGCGCCGACCATAGGGGGCGCCAAAATGGGTTGTAAAAACAAATTAAATTGTCATTTTAGCTGCGTTTTGCAGTTTGAGGGGGGGGGGGGGGGGGGTGCAAATCGAAAGTTTGAGGGGGGGGGGTGCAAATCGAAAAATTGACGGGGCGGCAAGTTGAAAGTTTGTCACCGGGCGCCGGGAATCGTCGCTACGATAGTATATCCTAAGGTTTTGGTGATACATTTCTATGGTGTTACAAGTCTATGGTGATCAAAAGTATGTTTATGTGTGTGTCAATGGTGATACATGCCTACCTTAATGTAAGATAATAATATCTTGGTCCATACTGATAACAGTTTACGTCGTTATGGTCTATGATGATTCAAGTTTTGGTGAAACAATTATGTTTTGGTACAAATCTAATTTGTTAAAAATCTGTTTTGATACAGGTCTATTGTTAAACAATTCTTATTCGATTCAAGTCTATTTTAATACAAATCAATTTTGAAACATATCTACGGTGAAACAAATCTATTTTGATACAAATCTGTTTTGATACAAATCTATTTTGATGCAAAACTGTTTTGATACAAATCTACAGTGAAACAATTGTTTTGATACAAGTCTGTGATGAAACAAGTCTTTGATGAAACAAGTCTATAGTGTTACAAATATCTTGATACAAGTCTGTGATGATACAATTCCATGGTGACACAAATATCTTGATACAAGTATGCGATGATACAAGTTTATCGTGATACAAATCTAGATTGTGTCAATCTATAGTCGTATATCCAGAAAGCGAATTTTCAGAACTTTCCGGACTACTTGTAGACCGCTGTAGTAGATCTAATGGTGTGATATACCCATCACAGTGCTGGTCAACAGTACTCATGTCTTGTGGGCCGGCAGCCTCGTTCTCGTTTGCCACCCTCCTGTAGCCCTCGTTCTGGACTTCGTGGTAAATATGTAGGTCATCGAGGCTGTTGTAGATGGCAGGCAGGTCCTTGCGTTGATTTAGTCGTCTCGCTCTGTGCCTCACTAAATACAAGTAAACATGTTGGCAAAGTAAAAAGTAAACATGTTGGCAATATAGGGCGAACACACAAGAAAACATGTTGGCAATATAGGGCGTACACACAAGAAAACATGTTGGCAATATAGGGCGTACACACAAGAAAACATGTTGCAATGTTGGGCCTACACACAAGAAAACATGTTGCAATGTTGGGCGTACACACAAGAAAACATGTTGCAATGTTGGGCCTACACACAAGAAAACATGTTGCAATGTTGGGCCTATAACACACAAGAAAACATGTTGCAATGTTGGGCCTACACACAAGAAAACATGTTGCAATGTTAGGCCTACACACAAGAAAACATGTTGCAATGTTGGGCCTACACACAAGAAAACATGTTGCAATGTTGGGCCTATAACACACAAGAAAACATGTTGCAATGTTGGGCCTACACACAAGAAAACATGTTGCAATGTTAGGCCTACACACAAGAAAACATGTTGGCAATGTAGAGCTTACACACAAGAAAACATGTTGGCAATGTACACACAAGAAAACATGTTGGCAAAGTAAAAAGTAAACATGTTGGCAAAGTAAAAAGTAAACATGTAGGTAATGTAGACACAAGAAAAATGTTTGAAATGTATACACACGCAAATATTGGCAATGCACATACACGTAAACACACACAATACATGCTGACAATGCAACAAATTTTAAAAAACTGTTCACTCTAAGTTTTTGACATTGCTACACCAATTCTATAGCTAGCTACGTAGACATAAAGGTAGTTTCTGACTAGAAAAAGCACTGCTTGGTATTTGAACTCTAGTCTTTCGCGTTTGCGATTATGTACACTGCCGCTCTACCAAGGCGTTAGTGACTTACACACGTTTTTCTGAACGGGACGGGACGAAGGTTAAAAAATATTTTTTCTCAATTCAGCCAGTTGACACCTATACTTAATTAATTGTGTTGGAGGGAATCTTTTCCAACCAAAAGAAAAGATAGTAGGTCAATAATTGAAAATGTTTCTGTTAACCCCAATAGATTTATCATCATATATTTTAAAATGTGTCTAATAATCCATACATATCTTTCCTCTGTGAAGCTGCAGTTAAACAACAAAAGTAGGACTTCCAGTAGAAATCCAGTTAAGCTCAAACCAGAGTATAATTTCATTCTGCTGTTTTAATTCGCCTGATCCTTGCACAGCCAAAATAAAACATGGGGTTAGCCTTCTTGCTTCAGGCGTTAACTGCACTGAACTGAATCTCAAATCAAAACTAAACAGAACAACAACCTTGAGTTTAGAGATGGATGTGTGTGGCTACCTGAAATCTACAGGCAGTTACGTTTATATTTATGAAATATTTGTTTCTACTTCGTTCCGGTCGAGGAGGGGGTGAAGTGGACTACCAACCTCTCATCCACGGAGGGATGCCTGAAAGAAACACTGCACGAGATGTCATGAGGTAAACATGTAATCTTAGGTACAAAATCGTAAAGAACTATTTACTTTTCACACAGAGCTGAATAAACGCCGCAGATAAGAAAACCAGTAAAAGTCCTGAAGCAACAGACAGAGAAATGATGAATGGAGTTCCGAATTTCTCTTCTTCTTTCTTCGGTGTTTCAACTAATGACAAATAAATGAATAAATGAATAAATGAATAAATGAATAAATGAATAAATGAACAAATGAACAAATGAACAAATGAACACATGAACACATGAACACATGAACAAATGAACAAATGAACAAATGAACAAATGAACAAATGAACACATGAACACATGAACACATGAACACATGAACAAATGAACAAATGAACAAATGAACAAATGAACAAATGAACTAATGAACTAATGAACAAATGAACAAATGAACAAATGAACAAATGAACAAATGAACAAATGAACAAATGAACAAATGAACAAATGAACAAATGAACAAATGAACAAATGAACAAAGGAACAAAGGAACAAATGAACACATGAGCACATGAGCACATGAGCACATGAGCACATGAGCACATGAACGCATGAACGAATGAACGAATAAACGAATGAACGAATGAACGAATGAACAAATGAACAATTAAACCAATGAACCAATGAACCAATGAACCAATGAACCAATGAACCAATGAACCAATAAACCAATGAACCAATGAATCAATGAACGAATGAACGAATGAACGAATGAACAAATGAACAAATGAACAAATGAACACATGAGCACATGAGCACATGAACACATGAACACATGAACGAATGAACGAATGAACAAATGAACAATTAAACAAATGAACCAATGAACCAATGAACCAATGAACCAATGAACCAATGAATCAATGAACGAATGAACGAATGAACGAATGGACGAATGAACGAATGAACGAATGAACCGATGGACGAATGAACGAATGAATGAATGAATGAATGAATGAATGAATGAATGAATGAATGTATGTATGTATGAATGAATGAATGAATGAATGAATGAATGAATGAATGAATGAATGAATGAATGAATATGTTAATAATTGAATAAATAAATAAATAAATAAATAAATAAATAAATAAATAAATAAATAAATAAATAAATATATATATATATATATATATATATATATATATATATATATATATATATATATATATATATATATATATATATATATATATATATATATATTAATTAATTTTTCAAAAACGTTTCAGCGATATTATTTAGCCGGAATGAATAGTTTACTTTATTTAAAATTTCTCAAAAACCTTCAGAATTCGGTAATGGTATCATAATTCGGTATCACATTGTTGACATGGATTAAAAACTTGCTTTATTTAGATTTGTCCAATCCACAATGTCATCCTGCTATTCGATTGGCTACCATAAATTTTATTATACTTATTGTAAGTGAAAAAAAAATCATACAGTACTATTTGAATAACTATAAAGAAAAGCGTGGGTCACTTTAGTATCTTTTGGATACCTTTACTAATGTTAAGGAAGACACCCACGCTTTTCTTTCTAGTTATTTAAATAGTAGTCTATAATTTATTTTCTACTTTTTAATGCATTATTACATAAAAGCTTGTTATTAAAACGTTTTTTTTATGAATTTTTTTGTAATAATGCACTAAAAAGTAGAAAATAAATTATAGCCTACATACTATTTAAATAACTATAAAGAAAAGCGTGGGTCACTTTAGTACCTATTGGATACCTTTACTAATATTTAGGAAGAGAGCAACGCTTTTCTTTATAGTTACTTAAATAGTAGTGTATAATTTATGTTCTCCTTTTTAGTCGATAAAAGCTTGTTATTAAAACGTTTTTTATAAAAAAAAAATTTAACCATATTCTCATATGGTCTCAATATTGTTATGAATGGTATCTCAGTGTATTGCAAAGGTATGAGAGTATATGTGTTGTAGAATGATTTTATGTTTATAAAATTGTGAATGTTTGACTAGGTACGTAAGGATAACAATTGAGAGTATGATCTTGTAGCCCTCCCCCGGAGAAAAAAAATCTGGAAGAAACAGTGCCCCCCCCCCCCCTCCCGAAAATATGCCTGGAAGAAACACTGCAAACAAAAGTCGTTCATAACGGATGACACACTCCTAAGGGGGAATGCGGAAAGGGGTGGGTTTAAAATTTTGTAACGATGTGTGACAAGGAGTAAGGGGTTTCAAAACGTGTGACAGCGAACTAATACAGTTTAAATACAAGTGTTAAAGAAGTGAATTTTAGCAACTATCTCGCATTTTTAAAATACTTATAAATAAAATACCATTTGATTAGTATACACAATGTTAAAGGAGGAAAGTAAATATTCAAGAAAGAAACCACTTATAAAAAAAACACAAAAAAAGTTTTAAAGAGAATGCTGCGTAGGTTATAGATTGATGTCTAGGTGGTTGTGTCCAGTTTTTTGTCGATGTGACGATGGTGATAAGGAGGTATTTCGTTAGAAAAAAATATGACACCGTTATAAATGACCTCCAAATATATAATAAATAATAGAAAAGACAGATCTATTATTTTTCATCAACCAAAAGATCGAGGAAGGTTATTTCTAAAACGAATATTGGCAAACATAAAACAACTATAACAACAACAACATAAAATACTACTTGCCGTATTCATAAATATAAACGTAACTGCCTGTAGATTTCAGGTAGCCACACACATCTATCTGTAAACTCAAGGTTGTTGTTCTGTTTAGTTTTGTTTTGAGATTCAGCTCCGTGCAGTTAACGCCTGAAGTAAGAACGCTAACCCCATGTTTTATTTTGACTGTGCAAGGATCAGGCGAATTAAAACAGCAGAATGAAATTATACTCTGATTTGAGCTTATCTCCATCTTTTTACCGGAAGTCCAACTTTCGTTGTTTAACTGCAGCTTTACAGAGGAAAGATCTGTATGGATTATATAATACACATTTAAAAATATATGATGATAAATTTCAGTAGGGGGGAGGGGGCGGTCTCTGGTAAAAATAATTATTTTCTATATGAAGAGGTGCCCGAAAGAGACTGTGATTATCAAGTTGGTAAAAAAATATTTCCTCAATCGATGAAAGTTAGAGAAACCTTATTGCTCCCAAAAGATAAAAGTTATAGAAACATTATTGCTCTCAAAAGATGAAAATTAGAATGTACCGTATTGCTCCCGTTGGTGTAAATTCGATTATAAGCCTACCGTATTGCCCCAAAAGATGAAATTTAAATGTACCGTATTGCTCCCAAGAGATGAAAATTATAATGTACCGTATTGCCCCCAAAAGATGAAAATTAGAATGTACCGTATTGCCCCCAAAAGATGAAAATTAGAATGTACCGTATTGCCCCCAAAAGATGAAAATAAGAATGTACCGTATTGCCCCCAAAAGCTGAAAATTTGAATGTACATGTACCGTATTTCCCCCAACAGATGAAAATTAGAATGTACCATACTGCCGCAACTCACCGAATATTGCCGGAAGACGCTTCTCCCCAGGCTGATAGAAAGCACTGTTGTTGTGCAACCTCATGACCCCTCGGACCGTCGCCCCACTGTAGGCAGCCCTAGCCGTCATGTTGATCACGGCACGGTAGCTGACGTTGCCGCTTGCCGAGCTGCAGTAGCATAGGTCTGGCACCGAACCGCTGCACCCTTCTCTCAGGTCTACACCGCACAGCTGGGTGGGAGATAAAATGTGCGGGGTCATATGTCTTGATGGTTAGTCACTGACAGTGTTTGATCCAGACGTTTTTCTCCGGGGTAGGGGTGGGATATTTTCGGGGGGACGGACGGACGATGGGTGGGGGGGGGACTTCGGTAAAAGTATGTTTTCTATTTTTAGTTCGGGGAGGGGGCAGGGACGGTAGACATTCTTCGGGGAGATGCCTGGAAGTAACGCTGGTCACTGACTAAATTTTATTGTTTAATAGTCACCATTTAAATTTTATTGTTGCATTGTTTCAATTAGATTTTGTTGTTGTCGCTTTGTATTTAACTAGATTTAGTGTTAAATTAAATCACTAATTCGATCTTGTTGCTGCATTCATGGAATTGCGTAGTCGTGTGGTAGAGTGCTCGACTGCTAGCCCGAAGGTCTCGAGTTCAGATCGCGGTCTGGAGTAGCGACTGCGGGACGTCCCTTAGTCTACCCAGCGCTGATGAGTAGGCCTACTTGACACACGTTTGATAAAGTAAAGGCGGCTGGGAATAGTACTGACTACATCATACCTTTATACAACGAGGTCAAGAAACATGGTCTCTACTTTATCTGCCTTTTGAATGCTTAAGTAAAAAATGTGAACGTTAATTCTTTTTGCATTATGTCGGTTATTTGACAAATTGGTGTATTTAATTCACTAACTATATCTTGTATATTCCTTCATAGTCTAATAGACCATTGCATAATTGTGCATTTGAAATCAAAGCACAAAACCTGGGCTTTAAGTTAAGAAAGGACAGAAGTTGCCCATCTTATCCAGGTATTCAAGAATTAGATCTGATTGTTGAATCAATTCTATAATTAGATCTTATCGAGGTGTTGAAGTATTAGATCTTATAGTTGCATTAATTCACTAATTAGATCTTTGTGGCATTAAATTTACTAATTCGATAATTAGATCTTATCCAAGTGTTCACTAATTAGATCTCATTTTCACATTAAATTTACAAATTCGATAATTAGATCGTATCCAAGTGTTCACTAATTAGATCTCATTGTTGCATTAAATTTACAAATTTGATAATTAAATCTTATCCAAGTGTTGACTAATTAGATCTTATCCAGGTATTCACTTACTAGATAATATCGACTCATCAAAGACTCACGTGTGTGTAGCTACTATCATCCGCCCCCAACGGTTTGATTTGAAACTGAACAACCCGATACCACGTGTCACCCTGAGGCGGGAAGTCTACGTCTGCAACCATCACCACACGGTCGATATCGTGACGTAGTCCACGTCTGCAGCTGGTGACGCTCAAGGTTTGATCAAACGACTTGATGTCAATTCTCTGAGACCAAACGTGACAAGCTAAAATAATTTTTTTTAAAATTAAAAATTCCATTTTAATTTGTAAACCATTTAACAAGTAATAAATAATTATTGCACAAAGCAAACACAAAATATTGATACGATATACGAAAACACATTTTGTTCCGTTAATTTGAATTTATTATCCCTAACATGGCATTTTAAAAAATCTACAACTCTTAGCTAAAGATTAACTGATCCTTAATTTTAGTAACGGTAATCATTAATTTAGTGAATCCATCAGGAAAGGGGGTGTTGAGGATAAAAAAATAAAAATAAAATAAAAATTACATTTTAATTTGTAAACCATTTAACAAGTATTAAATAATTAATGCACAAAGCAAACACAAAATAATGATACGATCTATAGAACACAATTTGTACCTTTAATTTAATTCCCTTACATGGTGGTTTTTTTTTTAAATCGACAACTCTTAGTTAAAATTTAACTGATTCTTGATTTTAGTAACGGTAATTATCAATTTACCGAACCCATAAGGAGAGGGGATGTTGGGGGTTAACTGGGACGGTGGTGTCAGCCCCCCCCCCCTTATTCCCCGCCCTATAAGGACCCGGCGCTTAATTAAAAAAACTATTCTAACAGAAAAAACAACACACTGTGTCTATTTATTTAGTAACTTCTTAATTGGTATCTTCAAGGTAAAAAAAAGTAAAACATGATGATGAAGTAACATAATTCCATCGCAAAAATAAAACAGTATACAAATCCTACCGTACAAAATGGTGCACATAATCTTAAAGCTTGTTGTTTTCATCATTATAGCTAAGGTGTTGTTGACAACATTTTTGAAGTTTTCATCATTGTGGGTTCTCTTCAATTTTACAATTTTTTTTGTTGTTTCATTGGTATAGACTCGGATTTAAACATGTTTGTTTGCTCTCAACATGAAGTGTTCACTGTTAATATTGTTCTGTGTTGTTAACATTTTATAGGTTCACTGTTAATATTGTTCTGTGTTGTTTACATTATAAGTTCACAGTTAATATTGTTTTATGTTGTTTACATTATAAGTTCAATGTTACCATCGTTCTGTGCTGTTTACATTTTATAGGTAAACTGTTAACATTTTTTAATGTTGTTTACATTATAAGTTCACTGTTAAAATTGTTCTGTGTTGTATATATTTTATAGGTCCATTGTTAACATTGTTTATGTTGTTTACATTTTATAATTCCACCTTTAGAGTCCTGTTACTCTTCTGCAGAATAGAACACATTGCATTATTAAAATAGGACAATGATTTATGCAGAGAAAACAATTTGTATTCAAACACAATTAATATTTAAATATTTTAAAACAAATATTAAGAAACAAAAACACATTAAAATATTTTTATCTTTTAGTAAACTGGTGGTCTAGCATTTGCTAAATCACAAGCCAATGAAATTTCACCGACCATGGGGGTGTTTCCATAGGATAAATTGGTGGAAAAATCTTGGTAACTATGACAACGGCGGCCATCTTAAAAATTAACCCCTTCGTAGGATTTCCACCATTTATTAAAAAAATATATATTTTAAGCCTGATACACAATGAATTGATAATTTTCTACCATATTTTAGGGTACTCAGCTAAAAGGTTTAAGAACATATCTTCAAACAAATTTAATATGATTTTTCAAAATTTGAATCAGTTAAAAACATAAAATTTTGGGGAATTTCGGGACACTAAAACCGGTGTTTTTTAATGGACCCACAACTCGACTTTTATATTTGTTAGATACAGCCGTCATGCTTTATAAAGTAGTATTATAACAAAAACCACACATCAGTTACATAAGTTAATTATAACTTTCATACTACATACACGTCATTACAGACCTACCTAAATCCACCGCGACAGGTTTCACGAAATACACAAATGGTGGGTGCTCTTAACTTGCAAAATCACCTACATCATACTACATAAAAAAATAAACCCCTTTTAACAAATACTTTGAGTAAGATTTCAAGTTTTACGGTGTTCTTATTTTACCACTATCTACAAAAATACTTTTTATAAAATGTTCTATTGTATTCTAAAAAAAACATTTTTCCGAATCAACAGTACCATTGCATAAATTAAACCTAACATCAACATTCTCACTTAGCGTATACATACTAATAAGAAAATAATAATTAAACCAATAGCCATATTTTTAAATTCAAGAAATATTAAGAGGCCTAGCAAACAAGCAAAAACTGCCAAAAATCAGTACTTCTACTTCTAAGTTACAAACTTCAGAACGCTTTATCCGGATGAATCATAAAACTACTTAAAACACTAGAAACGGCGGTGTGTCAAGTTCAAAGTTCAGGACAACCCACTTTCGGTTTCATTCAATAGGGTTGAAAAGTTTATGTAATCATACTAAATTAAAAAAAACATCATCTTTGTTGACAAGAGATGGTTACATTTTAAATATTAATTATGATTATTTAATCGTTATTTATGATAACTTAAGTTTATAAAAAGGCGTACACTGGTCTAACACCATCTCAAATAAACCGGGAGTGATCTCCCCTATTTCTCGAATATTCTTATATAAAATAACAGGGAATGGAAACTCGGGCTATAGACATGATTTTTAATCCATTTTAAATACTTAAAGTTTTAAAAATAGAATAAAATCTCGTAGACAAATTAATTGCACACCAAGTGAACGCAAATAAAAAAAGCGCATAATAGTGCGCAATATTATTAGTACTTTTAAAATTTACATTAGTTTTTTGAGAAATCGGAAGTAGCGTAAATTACTACTTCCAGTCAACCGGAATTACTTAAAATTTAACAGAAGGTAGAGAATTAGATCTTTTACTTACATGTGAAATTTCATTTATCTATCTGAAATAGTACTCAAGTTATAGGCTTTTAAAAAATTCAAAGTAGGAAAAGTACCACTTCCGGTTATCGGAAATCGCTCAAAAGTTGATACGGATCTACGATTTTGATAAAATACTTATATATGAAATTTCATCAACCTAGCTGTAACGGTACTCAAGTTATCGTGTTTACACACGGACAGACACACACACAGACACACACACACAGACATACGGACAAGATTGCAAAATTATGTTTTTCCGTATCAGTGAGGTGTAAAACGTCGAGATTTGTAAAAATCTCGATTTTTTTTTTTGCACGATTACAATACTTTCTCTATACTACGTATATACGAGAAAGTAAAAAGAATGAAATGGAATTAGTTTCCAAAATTAAAAAAAAAGATGACGATGGATGGGGCTCGTCCTAAGAATGAGTAAACAAGTTAATTAAAAAGTCTAGTGACATTCAAGCGCAATTTCCTTATGTTATCTAAAAATAGCTCTGTCGTAGCGTAAATCAAGAGCAGGGTTAGTAAGACCATTGGTTAAAATACATGTTTTATTTACAATATAGTTACATGACTAAAAACCATTGCGCGCCTAGCTACTGAACGTGATGACGCAGCCATTGAACGTGATGGCGCCGCTATTGAACGTGATGACGCGTGTGGTGTGGTTGGAAAAAATGCCTACTAATTCGGTCAAAATTTTAATTAATTCAAAAAATTTTTTGTGACCGAACGAAAGGATATTTTTGAAAACTTTCTTCGGCAATATTGTTCTAAATTATGGCAGGAATCGATTGGTACATGTTTCAAGTCGCTAAGTTGTCTGGTTGCCGAGATATGGGCAAAAAACTGCATTTTTTCGAGGTTTTTTGGCTTTTCCGGGAAATCCATGAAAGAAACCCGGAATTTTTATGGCCTATGCTCATCCTCATAACGTACTTAACATAATTGCTTTTGGAACTAGTCATCGATATTGCTTCGTTGAGGAGGAGATACGACTTAAAGCTGCGGACACACATTCATACATTCATACATCCATCCATCCATCCATCCATTCATCCAGAAATGACGGGTTAATAAACGCAATTCTCCAGAATGGAAATTGCGCTAAAAATACATCGTAGAAGTGACGCTAAACTGGACGCCTGAAGGAAAAAGAAAGCAGGGAAGGCCAAGGGATACTTGAAGGCGCGCCACGAGGAAGCAGCCGGCTGAGGCAGGAAAATTGCCGGTGACTGGCAAAAGTGGAGGGAGTTTTCTGTGGTGGCCTCATGTGTGTCTTGGTTACAAAAAGGAAAAGATCAAGTCTATAAAATCCCACGAATCTATATTTTTATTATAACCTTAAGGCCATAAATCCTACGTATCCATACGTTTATTTTAACCTAAATGAGAATGTTGTTCAGCCCTGTTAAATAGTTTTTAAAATTCTGTTTGTTGTTTTTGATACATTAAATGAGGACTGAGTATCCAATTCATTGCTTTTTCTATTCATTTGTAACAGTGTTACATCCACATTTTTAAAAGTAATTTTGCTTCAATTTATTTTAATAGTTTATTATTTTCTCTCTCATTAATTAGAATTTATTTTGTGAATTATTCCATGTTTTAATCAAATAAAATTAATTTATGTTCTCATTTATATTGTTTATTTAAATCACCACAACACTAGCCATTTTATAATATTACCATAATATATCAATATTTCTATATTTAGTTATTAATTTATAATTACTTTTTAAATCATCATCAATTTCCACAAGAGGACAATTTTTCTCTTCAAACAATCGAGAGCGTGTAGACGTGATCGAAACTACTCAGCCTACCTCGACAACCCCCTGTTCACCGCCAACATCACCATCAAACCTTCCATATCATCAACGCAGAGAACACTATACAGTAAACGTTCCATCTTATTTTAGCTGTGTGTTTAAATAATTTAAATATAAACAACTATACAGGACGCAAATAATTTTTAAACCTTTTTCCATTTTGCTTCTTTCTTGAAAAGTAATTTATCAATGTTTAAAAAAACTTTCTAAAATGGAAACAACAAGCGAGATATTGTTTAAGAATAAAATTTATTGTTGAACACTATTCCAATTATCTTTTTAAACTAAATAAATTTTCACACTAGAGAAGTTAATCCTCCTACAAAAAACAGTAGCAATAAAACAACAAATGCCAACGTTATTTTATTTTAATGATAAGCACATCAATGTTTTATAATCAAAACTAAACTAGATTAGTATTGAACATGCCAAATGTACTACAATGTCATATCTAGTTTTACGCTGAGATACACAGTTTATCAAGATACATTGAGTCAGATAGCTGTAACATACTGATACATTTAGTCAGATAGCTTTAGCACCCAGATACATTGAGTCACACAGCTGTAGCACCAAAATACATTGGTTTATGTGGCATTAAAACCAAGATACATTGGTTTAATGGAATGTACATAGCACGATGATACATTTTGTTGCATGAGTGAGTGATGGTGTTGAAAATCGACGCACAATAACCATTTAATTATTGATTTTATAACACTATTCAAAGTGGCAGAAATGTTGACAACAAATTTACGAAAAATATAAAAGTTGAGAAAAAGCAAAACAGATGAATAAATTTAACTGAAAACATTAAAAATTAAATCTTGAGATGGTCCAGCCTTAAACGTAAGGATTTTGCCACCTTGTTTGAAGGTGGTCGAGCCTTAAACTTAAGGAATTTGTCACCTTGTTTGAAGGTGGTCGAGCCTTAAACTTAAGGATTTTGTCACCTTGTTTGAAGGTGGTCGAGCCTTAAACTTAAGGAATTTGTCACCTTGTCTAAAGGTGGTCCAGCCTTAAACTTAAGGAATTTGTCACCTTGTCTGAAGGTGGTCCAGCCTTAAATTTAAGGAATTTGTCACCTTGTCTAAAGGTGGTCCAGCCTTAAACTTAAGGAATTTGTCACCTTGTCTAAAGGTGGTCCAGCCTTAAACTTAAGGAATTTGTCACCTTGTCTAAAGGTGGTCCAGCCCTAAGGATTTGCCGCTTTATCTGCCGGCGGCCCTGACTTAGCTGCTAGCGCCTTATTATACTGTTTAAGTGCATCAGTTTTAGCTTTATTTCTTTCCTTGAGTTGTTTCAGCGCCTTCTGTTCGGCTTTGAGGGCCTTCTTCTTCTCAATGAGGATGAGAGTTTGTACGTGCTCCAGCATCAGAGAGACGGCCCAGATCATTAGGATGACGCACCACGAATTCTCGAGACCGTACAAGATGACTGCTGGGTCGATGCTCTCTTTGACGTTTTGGTCCATTTGGATATCTGTTGAGGTTATGGGCACATTTGTACACATGTTACGGTTATGGGCACATTTGTATACATGTTGAGGTAATGGGCACATTTGTATACATGTTGAGATTATGGGCACATTTGTATACATGTTGAGGTTATGGGCACATTTTATACATGTCGAGGTAATGGGCACATATGTATACATGTTTAGGTAATGGGCACATTTGTATACATGATGAGGTAATGTGAACACTTGTATACATGTTGAGATAATGGGCACATTTTATACATGTTGAGGTAATGGGCACAATTGTATGCACGTTGAGGTAATGGGCACATTTTATACATGTCGAGGTAATGGGCACATATGTATGCATGTTGAGGTAATGGGCACAATGGTATACATGTTTAGGTAATGGGCACATTTGTATACATGTTGAGGTAATGTGAACACTTGTATACATGTTGAGGTAATGGGCACATTTTATACATGTTGAGGTAATGGGCACAATTGTATGCACGTTGAGGTAATGGGCACATTTTATACATGTCGAGGTAATGGGCACATATGTATGCATGTTTAGGTAATGGGCACAATGGTATACATGTTTAGGTAATGGGCACATTTGTATACATGTTGAGGTAATGTGAACACTTGTATACATGTTGAGGTAATGGGCACATTTTATACATGTCGAGGTAATGGGCACATTTGTATGCATGTTGAGGTAATGGGCACAATGGTATACATGTTTAGGTAATAGGCACATTTGTATACATGTTGAGGTAATGTGAACACTTGTATACATGTTGAGGTAATGGGCACATTTGTATACATGTTGAGGCAATGAGCACATTTTATACATGTGTAGGTAATGAACGCATATGTATACATGTTTAGCTAACGGGCACATTTGTATACATGTTGAGGTAATAGGAACATGTATGTACATGTTTAGGTAATGGGCATATTTACATACATGTTGAGGTAATGGGCACATTTGTATACATGTTGAGGTAATGGGCACATTTGTATATATGTTGAGGTAATGTGAATACTTGTATACATGTGTAGGTAATGGGCACATTTGTATACATGTTGAGGTAATAGGAACATGTATGTACATGTTTAGGTAATGGGCATATTTACATACATGTTGAGGTAATGGGCACATTTGTATACATGTTGAGGTAATGGGCACATTTGTATATATGTTGAGGTAATGTGAATACTTGTATACATGTGTAGGTAATGGGCACATTTGTATACATGTTGAGGTAATGGGCACATTTTATACTTGTTTAGGTAATGGGCGCATTCTAATATCTATTGAGATATAAAGATTAAATATAAAAATGGCTGAGATTGTGGTGGGGGTTGCCTTTTTTGTTGTTGATGTTTGTGTTATTTGTTTGTGATTGTGGGGAGGGTTAGGGTTTATGTCAGTGTTTATCTGTTTTTAGACATAGAAATACGAGGAATGAAGAGGATTTATGTCTATGTATATGTTCTTTTATGCTTATGGTTGTGTGTGTGTTTAGTTGTGGTCATGGTTTGGTTTAGAGTTAAGTATATGGTTATATATTTTCTCAAATGTTGATATTTGCAAATAGACATTATTTGGAACTGCAATATATTCCATAAACTCGGACACGTGAGGCTAAATAAACACACAAGTGACGTTACATTACGGATACGTTTTTCACAAAAGCCAGTGCAAAGCCTGGTCGGGACGGCTAGTTGTGATATAAAGAGGAGATAATAAATTATCATCTTTAAATAGATAATAATGAACTACTATATGAATGTCTAAAACATAAGCATGGGTTCATTCTTAAATTCTAGTAAAAATATTCAATAAATAATAAATAGCGACCCTTGCTTTTCTTTTCACTTATTTAATTACATATTTAAGGAAAATAATTTATTTTCTCCTGTTTTAGTGCTTACTTATAGTAAAACTTTTTATTAAAACGTTTTTGTAATGCATTTTAAAAATCCACTTTTATTTGATTTCGCGATACAAACGATACATTTTTTTTTTATTCCTTCGCGCTTTATTTTTCTATTCGATTTTGTTTAATAGTAATGTAACTATAATTTTTATTAAAATCAGCGTTTATCTAGCAAAAGAAAGACAATGATCCCACCAAATCTGCACCATTTGAAACAGTAATGAACTTAAACTTAAGAAAAACCAATTCTGTTTTATATCTTGAAATTTTAAATCCAGTTGTTAAAATAGTGCATTAAAATAAACACAATAATCCCGCACATACCAGTAGAGACCAAAAAATGTATCCGTAAAAAACAAAACAAATTACTTTTAGTTGAGATGTATTGCTTTTGCCGTCTCTTGTCGTCAGGTGCTAAACATCTTAGTGCCTCGCCCTCAAGTCTGGTTCAAATAAAAAATATCAAGTTTTAACAACTGTACCTTCATACATTTCTTTAAACATTCATGTCTATCTCAAAACGTGGGAATCAAAGCCCTGAAAGAATCCTATTAGATTTAGAACACTTGGCGTAACTGGAGAAAACATCTCAAGTTTTTAACGTAGGCCCTTATTTCATTCATAATTTAGAAATAAAAGATTTATAAAATAGATTTGTTCTCTAACATAGTGTAGTAGTTTAATTCATATATATTCTTATTTGTATTTAATTAAAAAAGATATAAATACATTTACTATTAAATTCAGACACATGTAATAATGGTGTTATCAAAATATTTTCGTTAGACAATGTATGTTGGGCCCAGAGGCGTAGCGACCCTTCCCGGCGCCCGGGGACAAACTTTCGATTTGCACCCCCTTGAACTTTTGATTTGCACCCCCCCTCATACTTTCGATTTGCACCCCCCTCCCTCGAACTTTTCATTTCCACACCCCCCCTCAAACTTTCAATTTGTTTTTCCAACCCATTTTGGCGCCCCCCCCCCTAAGGTCGGCGCCCGGGGACATATGTCCCCCCCCCCCTCGCTACGCCTCTGGTTGGGCCCAAGATTGAAAATAAACTGCCTCAGTTTGAAGATCTAGATCACCTTGGATTGCTCATCTAAAAACCAATTAACAAAGAGGACTCCTTCATGTTGACACATTAATTTAATATCAAAGTGAGGCAAACTTAGATGGAGGGGGACTAATCTAAAGGTATACCGCAATGCGATAAGAAAAGGACAATCGTTTAAACTGAAAAATAACATTAGCCAAGTCCTTTTTATTTTATCCGCACGCCCAAGATACTGACACAAGGGTGTTACCCAACCTCATAAAAAAATTGGCGAATGACGCCCAAAGTTGAGACTCACACACAAGAAAAGTTGGTGTGTGATAACCAAAGTTATGACTCACCCACACGAAAAGTTGGTGTGTGATAACCAAAGTTTTGACTCACCCACAAGAAAAGTAGGTGTATGACGCCCAAAGTTATGACTCACCCACAAGAAAAGTTAATGTGTGATAACCAAAGTTATGACTCACCCACAAGAAAATTGGTGTGTGATAACCAAAGTTATGACTCACCCACAAGAAAATTGGTGTGTGATAACCAAAGTTATGACTCACCCACAAGAAAAGTTGTTGTATAACGCCAAAAGTTTTGACTCACCCACAAGAAAAGTTGGTGTTAGCCGTGGCGGATTCTTCGCTGTGGCTAAGCTTGCTCTTATCATTTTTGCTGGCTATGGACTTTTCACCCATCTACGGAGAAAACAAACATGCAATCAAGTATTCTGTCGTGGCTAGTAATTATAAAACATGCGTCTTTTTGTAAATGTATGTTTATATTGACACTTTGTTAAATACATAGAGACTAAATGCTTAGTGTGATTTGTCCAGCGTAATGTGAATCATTTATTTCTTCCGACATTGACTCAATTAGGGCCTCGTGAATAAGACATATATTTAAGTTATTTAGAGAAGGTTTAACTTTTATAACTGCTAGCCTTTATAAAAAACAAATTTATACATCAATCGACGCAACACCGTATTAAATGCACACACTGATTAAAAGACGTAAATGATTTCGTTCAATTACCGTTATCTTTTTTTTAGCAATTAGTTTTTAGCAATTGTAATGTTAATATATTAGACTGACCAAGACTGTAATGTTAACATATTAGGCACACCCATATTGTAATGTTAACATATTTGACCGTCACTGTAATGTTAATATATTACACTCACCCAGATTGTAATGTTAAAAGACTAACCCAGTTTGTAATGTTAACGTATTAGACTCATCCAGCTTGTAATGTAAACATATTACACTCACCCAAATTGTAATGTTAACAGACTCACCCATATAGTTGTGTTCACTTTTGGCGTGCCAAAGTTTGGCATGTTCCTGATTTCACAACTCAAAATAAAGCTTCCAGTAAGTGACTTGTGACCCTCCAATGTAATTTGTATGTCTTTGGAAGGGGGCTCTGACAAGGTAGGAAAATCAGTAAAACATTTTGTTACTATTTATACAATATGTGTTGTATGGCTAGATGGGGTCCTTACAAGGGACAGTATTTACACTTCATTATCAATATTTAAGGTAAGAGGCATGTTGACACTGTACTTACAGGTGAGCGACATGTTGACACTATAGTTACAGGTGAGAGACATATAGACACTGTATTTGCAGGTGAGAGACATATTGACACTGTACTTTCAGTTGAGAGACATATCAACATTGTACTTACAGGTGAGAGACATATCAACACTGTACTTACAGATGAGAGACATATCAACACTGTACTTACAGGTGAGAGACATAACACTGTACTTACAGGTGAGAGACATATCAACACTGTACTTACAGGTGAGAGAAATATCAACACTGTACTTACAGGTGAGAGACATAACACTGTACTTACAGGTGAGAGACATATCAACACTGTACTTACAGGTGAGAGACATATCAACACTGTACTTACAGGTGAGAGACATATCAACACTGTACTTACAGGTGAGAGACATAACACTGTACTTACAGGTGAGAGACATATCAACACTGTACTTACAGGTGAGAGACATATCAACACTGTACTTACAGATGAGAGACATATCAACACTGTACTTACAGGTGAGAGACATATCAACACTGTACTTACCTTACAGGTGAGAGACATATCAACACTGTACTTACAGGTGAGAGACATATCAACACTGTACTTACAGGTGAGAGACATATCAACACTGTACTTACAGGTGAGAGACATATCAACACTGTACTTACAGGTGAGAGACATATCAACACTGTACTTACCTTACAGTTGAGAGACATATCAACACTGTACTTACAGGTGAGAGACATATCAACACTGTACTTACCTTACAGGTGAGAGACATATCAACACTGTACTTACCTTACAGGTGAGAGACATATCAACACTGTACTTACAGGTGAGAGACATGTTGACACTGTACTTACAGGTGAGAAACATATCAACACTGTACTTACAGGTGAGAAACATATCAACACTGTACTTACCTTACAGTTGAGAGACATATCAACACTGTACTTACCTTACAGGTGAGAGACATATCAACACTGTACTTACAGGTGAGAGACATATCAACACTGTACTTACCTTACAGGTGAGAGACATATCAACACTGTACTTACAGGTGAGAGACATATCAACACTGTACTTACAGGTGAGATACATATTAAGACTGTACTTACAGGTGAGAGACATATTGACACTGTACTTACAGGTGAGAGACATATCAACATTGTACTTACAGGTGAGAGACATATTGACACTGTACTTACAGGTGAGAGACATATCAACACTGTACTTACAGGTGAGAGACATATCAACACTGTACTTACAGGTGAGAGACATATCAACACTGTACTTACAGGTAAGAGACATATCAACACTGTACTTACAGGTGAGAGACATATTTACTTACTGGTGACAATAAGTTCAACGGTGTCTTCTATAAAGTGTGGTAAATCGCTGGGGATGTATCTCACTGGCTTTGGTGTTGTTGTAGTCTTAGTTGTGGTGGTGGGAGTTGTGGTAGGTGTGGTTGTTGGCGTCGTGGTAGGGGTTGTGGTTGGTGTAGGCGTGGTTGTCGGGGCAGGAGTTGTAGGAGCAGGGGTTGTAGGTTCTGGAGTCTGTACAGTGGTCGGCTCCACCGCGGCCCCCGGATCCCCTTGGGCCGGAACTGACAAGAGCATCAATTGTGATATAACAATGCGACAGTTGAAAGAGCATCAGTTGTTACATAAAAATGTGAGTTGAAAGAGCATCAGTTGTTATATAAAAATGTGAGTTGAAAGAGCATCAATTGTGATATATAAATGTGACAGTTGAAAGAGCATCAATTGTGATATAAAAATGTGAGTTGAAAGAGCATCAATGGTGATATAAAAATTTGAGTTGAAAGAGCATCAATTGTGATATATAAATGTGACAGTTGAAAGAGCATCAATTGTGATATAAAAATGTGAGTTGAAAGAGCATCAATGGTGATATAAAAATGTGAGTTGAAAGAGCATCAATTGTGATATATAAATGTGACAGTTGAAAGAGCATCAATTGTGATATAAAATGTGAGTTGAAATAGCTACAATTGTGTTATAAAAATGTGACATGTTGCGCATTGTGAGACCAACAATATTGGAGTGAGCTTTCTGTAGCGGACCCATTTGTCGTGCGTACAAAAAAGGTAAGATGATGGTAATGTACCTAGTTGTTTAAGTTTAGGACTACCATGAATATGAAGTTATCAATTGTTTTAGGCAATGTACCTGTCATTAAATTTTACACTGCTTTGAATCAATAAACAATAAATTGCAAGGCGTATTAACCTATGATTAAATGTGTTTACTGTCAATAATATAAATATGTGACGCATACCTAAAATACTAGACAAATCTATACTCTGATTGTGGTATTTCTGAAAAGAAAAAAAAATGATAATTTATTACAATAAGTTTACTAAATCATAGTTCCTCGAAATTTTTTTTTTGGTTTGAAAATTTATTTGTAAATAAATATGCGAAAATGGAGGCATCATAATTCCTATTCCAGATAATATATCACAGAGGGTATCAGTGTTTCTTCCAGACTTTTTTCTCCGGGGGAAGGGGGGGCACTTGAAATCTTCGGGGGGGGGGGGGGGGGGGGGGGGCGGTAAACTTTCTTCGGGGGGCGGACGCTGCTAATAGTATATATTTTCTATATAAATTATATAAATTTCATTTCGTTCGGGGGGGGGGGGGGGCTTCGCCCTCCCGAAGAGATGCCTGGAAGAAACTCTGTACGGTATATCAAAAGAATAGGATGCTATAGGCAATATGTGAAATGTTGTTCAGTTTGTTACAACACCATACACTTATAATTGACATCAAACCCGACCCGGATATGACCCGAATATGACCCGAATATGACCCGAATATGACCCGAATATGACCCGAATATGACCCGAATATGACCCGAATATGACCCGAATATGACCCGAATATGACCCGAATATGGCCCGAATATGACCCGAATATGACCCGAATATGACCCGAATATGACCCGAATATGAAACCAAACAACGTACCTGGTGACTGCCCACATATCTGCCTTTTAGTGATCTCTTGTTGCTACACAATGGAATAGATAAAAAAAAAACATACTCAACTAAAAAAACAAGGGCATTTATTTTTTTTTAATTTTTAAAGCGTTGATAATTAATCATACCATTTGTTTTTAAATAATTTTATTGCACACAATAAAAATTCGACATCAAAACCTGCTTTACATTATAGTTATTTTTTTAAAGTTTCGTTTAAATTATGTTTAGTAATGTATAAAGCAAATGGCTAAGTATATATTCACAATGCAGATTATATTTTGATCATTTCGGAGATGTATTTTCCTTGCGATATGTTAATTTTATGATATTTTGCCTGCACTTTATTTTGTCTTCGGAATATTTTGTCTTTGAAAAATTTTGTCTTCTATCTATTATGGAGATGTGCTCTCTGAAATGCTGTTTTTATATTTTGAAAAACATAAATGTACCCGTATATCAAATAATCAGTAAGTTAATTTTCATTTTTCGTACCTGACGATCGATGGGATAGATGAAGTAGAGTTAATCTATTTCGTGACCACGGCATATGAAGATATGGTGTGGTCATTACTATTATCAGTCGCATTTACTTGAACCTAAGCTGGATAAACCACAGACTCATGTCCAAGATCCGAACTTGAGACGAGCGCTCTATCACTTGACCATATCACCCCATTTTATCGCTTTGAGTCGAGCAGGACATAAAGAGAATGTCTGATGTCATTTCTAGCGACCCCCCCCCCCTGTCTTTGAACTCGGCCCTGACTTGTTAAATTCAGTCATGGAATACAGCTATCATTTTTCTTTATAACCATCTACACTTTGTTGCAAAAAGTAATGCACTTGATTTTGCCACAAAATTACATCTTTTTTTTTTGTGTCAAGTTAAGCTCAGAATCTTCTTCTTCTTCGTTCTTAATTTTAGTGTTGGAATAGATCCCCTCCAGCAAAATTAATTATACGTGTCAACTGGTTATGCGCCACTGAGGCCATTGACTCCGAAGCTCACAATAATTGTTGTATTAAATTTTTTTTGTACAATATTTTTAAAATTATTTGCACAATATCATTTCGACGTTGTAACTTATGAGGTTTAAACAAAATTTTGAACAAGAAAAAAGAATGGACCAACTGTTTTTGGTCCTGAAAGAACTCCAGCTTGATGCGGATCTCACGGCTGTCTTCATCAGTCACCCCGAAGATCTCGAGTTTTGGGATGCCTTCCCCGGTGGCTGCGACAATCCTACAACGGTCGTGGCCGTCCCTTGCGAATGTGCCCTGAAACAGATTCAACCATGTGGATTCACGAGGTGTGGAAACATTTAATCCAGATTAATGCTAATCCACCGTCTTGTTTCAGAGTAAGCTATTGCCATTACCTATTAGATTAATAATAATTGCAACTTCACTCTAGAAATTTTAAGCCAAATGGGAACAGACAACTTTTGTACGATAAACGAGAATCAAAACCACAAGCCCTTACAGCACATAGTACCAGGAATTCTTCACCTTTCACCAATTTACCTCAAAACCTAAACCTTATCCTAAAAATTACTGTCTACGCTTTTCCTCAAAACCTAAACCTAATCCTAAAAAATTACTGTCGACGCTTTTCCTCAAAACCAAAACCTAATCCTAAAAGTTACTGTCGACGCTTTTCCTCAAAACCTAAAGCTAAGCGTAAAAATTACTGTCTACGCTTTTCCTCAAAACATAAACCTAAAAATTACTGACAACCTTTATCCCCTTGACGGCATAAATTTAGTTTTAAAATCTCTAACCCGATGAGCATAATGTAAAAAAATATTTTAAATCGATAAACCAAGAAAGTAATAGTTAAAATCTATATTCCTTCTCAGTGCAAAAGATGTAAACGTAATATGAACAAGTTATACCGAAACGCATCAAGTTTACCTTGCTGTTTCGTTGGTTATATATCTCAGTTTACCTTGCTGTTTCGTTGGTTAAATATCTCTTATTATAAAGTTTACCTTGCTGTTTTGTTGGTTATATAATCTCAGTTTACCTTGCTGTTTCGTTGGTTATATATCTCAGTTTACCTTGCTGTTTCGTTGGTTATATATCTCAGTTTACCTTGCTGTTTCGTTGATTATATATCTCAGTTTACCTTGCTGTTTCGTTGGTTATATATCTCTTATTAAAAAGTTTACCTTGCTGTTTCGTTGGTTATATATCTCAGTTTACTTTACTGTTTCGTTAGTTATATAGCTCAGTTTACCTTGCTGTTTCGTTGGTTATATATCTCAGTTTACCTTGCTGTTTCGTTGGTTATATATCTCTTATTATAAAGTTTACCTTGCTGTTTCGTTGATTATAAATTTGTTATTATAAAATTTACCTTGCTGTTTCGTTGGTTATATATCTCCTTGGCCATGACGATTTGGCTCTTTTCGCGGCTGGCCAGCGCTGTCCACGTGATCTCTCTCACGGCGTAGTTTTCCTGGCACAAAATATGGGGAGTGTCAATAGAGCACAAAATATGGGGAGTATCAATAGAGCACAAAATATGGGGGGTGTCAATAGAGCACAAAATATGGGGGGTGTCAATAGAGCACAAAATATGGGGAGTGTCAATAGAGCACAAAATATGGGGTGTCAATAGAGCACAAAATATGGGGAGTGTCAATAGAGGACAAAATATGGGGAGTGTCAATAGAGCACAAAATATGGGGAGTGTCAATAGAGCACAAAATATGGGGAGTGTCAATAGTGCACCAAATATGGGGAGTGTCAATAGAGCACAACATATGGGGAGTGTCAATAGAGCACAAAATATGGGGAGTGTCAATAGTGCACCAAATATGGGGAGTGTCAATAGTGCACCAAATATGGGGAGTGTCAATAGAGCACAAAATATGGGGAGTGTCAATAGTGCACCAAATATGGGGAGTGTCAATAGAGCACAAAATATGGGGAGTGTCAATAGTGCACCAAATATGGGGAGTGTCAATAGAGCACAAAATATGGGGAGTGTCAATAGTGCACTAAATATGGGGATTGTCAATAGAGCACAAAATATGGGGGGTGTCAATAGAGCACAAAATATGGGGGGTGTCAATAGAGGACAAAATATGGGGAGTGTCAATAGAGCACAACATATGGGGAATGTCAATAGAGCACAACATATGGGGAGTGTCAATAGAGCACAAAATATGGGGAGTGTCAATAGAGCACAAAATATGGGGGGTGTCAATAGAGCACAAAATATGGGGAGTGTCAATAGAGCGGGGGTGACCTACCCTCAACTCTCTCGAATATTCCTCGAATACGATTTTTTATCAATTAATACCTACTCAAACTTTTAAAAAGAATAGAATCTCGTACATGAGAGAGAGAGAGATAGAGAGAGAAAGACAGAGAGGGAGAGAAAGAGAGAGAGAGGCAGAGAGAGAGACAGAGAGAGAGACAGAGAGAGAGACACACACACAGACATATTGACAAAATTACAAAACTAAGTTTTCCGACGCATTGAGTATTAAAACGTCGAGGTTTTTGAAAATCTCGATTTCTTTGCACGATTACAATACTTCCTCTATACTTCGTATACGAGAAAAGTAGAAAGTGAAAGTTTCTTTTAAAAACGTATCGAGTTCATTTTCATCCAAATATTTTAATGTTTTAACAATTGTAGGAAACTTAGTGGCTGTGCTCAGATTATAGTCAAATAGGCTCCCGTATAACGTATGATCACAAGTAAATACTAACATGTTGTAAATTGAAATATATTTATATATTATTTTTGTGTGTGAGAAAACATGTAAAATGGAATATTTAAGTGTACTATATTTTTGTTTTAAAACGAATTGTAAATTGAAATATTTTTATATATAATTTTTTTGTGTGAAAACATGTAAATTGGAATATTTTAATGTACTAATTTTTGCTGAGGTGCTGGGTTCGAAGTATTTACTACACAGTCAGATGTATCTCAAGTTTAACCCAATTATTATAACATACGAGCCGACCCGCGGCATATCATACGCCGCTATTTAGTTGTTTTTTTCTACTTTTCAGTAATTCATAATTTTTTAATTCGACAGTACCAATGCTGCCACTGAAAAAAATTGCTTAAAAACACTAAACCCCCCTTCCCCCCCCCCCCCCCACGTGAAAGCAGCCTCCTCTTAGTTACCTCCTCTAAGTTTAAAATCGTTTCAAACTAAATTATCTGCCCCTAATAGCCGTCACCAAACCCGTCTCTATGATTGTAAAATGTAAACAGCGTGAACCACAGCTCACCAGGCCATGTGAGGGGGTGGGGGGGGGGGGGGTGGTAGCGATAGAGAGGAAGAGAGGGGGCTGTAAGGCGCGCTTGTAGCTTGTTTTCTAAAGGCTCCCAGAAGAGAATTATATATATAGATAGATATCGATAATTCTGGGGGGGGGGGAATGACGTCACGATTTATTTATTTTTAACACTAACGTCACCAACATCTGCCACCTTACTATGATTGATCTTTTAAAAGGATTGAACTCCCAATCCAGAGTCCCCTCTTTGCCGTCACACATGAAGATTTTTCTTTCCGGTTTCTTCGTGAAATCTGCAGAGATAAAGAAACATAGTGTACAATTTGTTTCAGGTGCTCGTATGATTTTTTTGTTAATTTCATTATTATTTTACTTCTCTGTTTATCTAAATGTATTAACTCAAAATATCGATTTTGTTTTAGTTGTTAATAATTGTAACTGGTCAGGGGGGTCATCCATAAATGACGTCACACTCGTAGGGGGGAGGGGGGTCCGTAATTTTGTGACGATGTGTGATGAGGGGGAGGGGGGGGGGTCAGATGTTGCGACGTCACATTTTTGCATTATAAAAAAGCAATGTTAGAAAACGAATTTTAGACGTTATTTCGCGTTATAGATAACTGTTTTAATAAATTGTAATAGTTTAGACAAGATTTTGGAAAAATATCGATGTTTTTAAAAAATTCAACTGCAATTTTGAGGGGGGTTGTAGGTTGAGGTGTGACGTCATTTTAGGGGGGGGGGGGGTCTGGCTTTTTGTGACGACGTGTGACGGAGGGGAGGGGGGAGGTAAAAAGCGTCAAAAAAGCGTGACGTCATTTATGGATGACCCCCAAAGGGTATATGTTCGACTACTAATTCCGTATACGAGAATGTAAGAATGCAGGAAAAGTTGAGAAAAATCAGTCCGGTAGAAATTATCTTTTTTTTTTTTTTGAAAAGAAAAACGGAAGTAGAGTTAAGCACTATTTCCGCTTAACAAAAATGGCTCCAAATTTGACAGAATTAAGAGAATATAATCTTATACATATGCATGCAATTATATTTACATATCTGAAACGAATAATGCTTATTTTTTCTAGTACCACTTCCGTATAATGGAGGGCTCTAGTTATTGTGTTCCTTTAGAAATAGAGAAAAGTAAGGCCAACCACTTTCGGTTTAAAAAATTCTTTAGAAAGTTGACGCGTATTACAGACATTTGGGATATCGGAAGTGTAGTAACCACTTCCTTGTACCGTAAATCGCCCACATGTTAGAATAAAAATACAAACTAGAAATAATACACATATGAAATTTGGTCCACTAAACTGGTACAGTCAAGTTATCATGCAAACACTGACGAAGAAAATTGAAAAACTAAGTAAGTTTTTTTAGGTTCAGGAAGGTCATTAAAAGTAAATTTAAAAAAAAAAATTAAAATCTCGATTAAGATTTCACAAGATTTCAATAGATACTTTATATTGCCTTTATACATAAAGTGGGGGGGGGGGGATTTAAAACTGCACGAAATTTTGTTCAAATTTTGTGCTCGATTACAATACTTTCTTTATATTATTATTCTGAACAGGAGAAAGTAAAAAGTAAAGAGGAAGCCACAAAAACAAATGGTTGCGTGTGGACTAAAGTAGGTTGCCTTAACCAATTCAGGGAACTTTTAAAAATATATCGTAGTATCTACGTAACATTTACAACATAGACTTTATTATTAACATTTAACAGAGCTTATCAACTTATTTTTCATTATTTACTCTTAGGAAACTTGTAATTGCAGATTTCAAGTTAAATTTGAAACGTTTACAAAAATGTATACTGAAAAATATATTTAAATAAATATTAGTTCGATGTTATTTTAAATATAAAAAAGTAAAGTTTGCCTTTCAAACCTGACGGTCAATGAGGCGAGTGAAGTAGAGTTCACTTGTATCTGTGACCTCGGCATATGAAGAGATAGTGTGGTCAGCTCTATGCCCAGCCGCCTTTACTTTCCCTAAAAGGAGTTGGGTGGACTCAGGGACGGCCTACTGACTTGAACCGGATTCGAACTCAAGACTTACGAGTTAGCAGTCCAGCTCTCTAACGCTAGACCACTCCGTCCCACTCCGAGGTCACAGAAACAAGTGAACTCTACTTCACTTGCCCCATAGACCGTCAGGTTGGAAAGGGAAACTTTTACTTTAAATATAATTTCATTTAAACTTCACGCACAGTTAAACGTTAGATTTAACGTAAGGCTAAATTAAATGAAACTCACCAACTACGGCAATCTGTTGCCGCTCCGTTAGCTGTGCCCACTGACAGACTACAAATTTATCCTGTGTGGAGTCAAAAAGTTATATGTCGGTTAAAATAAACTCTAATGATTAGTTGTATGTGGAGTCAAATAGTTATATGTCGGTTAAAATAAACTCTAATGATTAGTTGTATGTGGAGTCAAATAGTTATATGTCGGTTAAAGTAAACTCTAATGATTAGTTGCATGTGGAGTCAAATAGTTATATGTCGGTTAAAGTAAACTCTAATGATTAGTTGTATGTGGAGTCAAAGAGTTATATGTCGGTTAAAATAAACTCTAATGATTAGTTGTATGTGGAGTCAAATAAACTCTAATAATTAGTTGTATGCGGAGTAAAATAAACTCTAGTAAATATTTTTATTTAGAGTCAAATAAACTCTAATAATTAGTTGTATGTGGAGTAAAATAAACTCTAATTATTAGTTATGTGTGGCGTAAAATAAACTCTAATAATTAGTTCTATGTGGAGTAAGAATAGGTAATTATTATTTCAGTGTAGTGCGGAGGTAGTACATTGAATTATCGGGAGGAATGGATTTGGGAATCTGAATAGCTTTGTAAAATTACGTGGCAAAAAATGCAAACTTCAGCGGGTAGAAGTTTGTTAGGTCGTGATATTGTGTCATGTTGTGTTACAGTGAAAATTTACTCACACGTTATATACATATATATATATATATATATATATATATATATATATATATATATATATATATATATATATATATATATATATATATACTAGCCGTCCCGGCCAGGCCCTGCTCTGGCTTCTGTGAAAAACCTTTCTGTTAAAGACCATTACCTGTGTGTTTAGTAATCATCATAAACCCGGCATTGCCCACCCAAACCACAACCAACCAAAACCAAAACAACAAAACGCAAACATAACGCTAACACAATTACAAATACAAACGAAAACGAAAACCTAACAACAAACCCAACCACAACAACAAACACCAATACCAACACAAAGAAAAAAACAAACGAAAAAGCAAACGAAAACAAACCAAATCCAAACGCAAAACCAACCACAAACACAAATACAAACCCAAAGAAAAAAACACAAACAAAAACGAAAAAAGAAAGAACAAAAAACGAGCCAAATCAAAACGCAACCACTAACGCAAACCCAACCTAAACACAAAGAAAACACTAACGCGAACATAAACGCAAAGTGCTCACAGTCTAGCCCGGGGCGGAATCGCCTGTTTCAGCTTAATAAACGACTATAGTACCCCAACTTATTCATAGTCTTTTGCACTCACTTAAACGAACGCGCCTGTTTCAATTTAATGAACAATTTTAATACTCCAAGCTTATCCGTAAAATACCTACAACATTTGCACTTGATCAATCCCCGCTAATTATGTAATTATATTTTTTCCCAACACCAAAACAAAGTAATAAAAAGTAAATTCTTTTCCACTAATGCAATGTTTTTATAAAGGGAAGTAATTGTGTTTTCCTAATTTATCAAAGGGAAGTACGTGCTAAAGGACTAAACAAAGACATAATTAGAATTTTTGAAAAAGATGATATTTTTTAAAACTTGTGTTTAATGAACATGCCGACAATTATTACTTTCAGTTTGAAAAATGAAAATTATTTCCCAACACTTTCAATATTAATTGTTTAACTCATAAATTTTGACCATAAGGACTTTAATAACCTAACACTTAAATCCATTGAAGTATCCGCGACAAACATTTTACACTTTACATATTACAAGTTACATACAGAATTGAGCTTTATATATATTATATATATATATATATATATATATATATATATATATATATATATATATTATATAATTATATATATATATATATATATATATATATATATATATATATATATATATATATATAAAAATTATATATATATATAAATTATAAATATATATAAATTATAAATATATATAAATTATATATATATATATATATATATATATATATATATATATATATATATATATATATATATATATATATAACATAAAGTTTAAAAGTTATTATAGGTCATCTCTTGTAGTTTAAATAAAGATTCATGTAAGTTCATAAAAATTGTAAAATTGGAAACGGAACTTAAAAGATGTATATTGTTTCTGTTTCCCCTTCTATTATGCCTTTGATCAAATCACCAGCAAAGATATCATTGGGAGAGCTACTTGGTGGCAACAACGTCACGAATTTTGACCAACTTGACGACAACAACCTCACGAATTTTGACCAACTTGACGACAACAACGTCACGAATTTTGACCAACTTGACGACAACAACGTCACGAATTTTGACCAACTTGACGACAACAACGTCACGAATTTTGACCAACGACGACAACAACCTCACGAATTTTGACCAACTTGACGACAACAACCTCACGAATTTTGACCAACTTGACGACAACAACCTCACGAATTTTGACCAACTTGACGACAACAACGTCACGAATTTTGACCAACGACGACAACAACCTCACGAATTTTGACCAACGACGACAACAACCTAACGAATTTTGATTAACTTGACGACAACAACCTCACGAATTTTGACCAACTTGACGACAACAACCTTACGAATTTTGTTCAGCTTGACGACAACAACCTCACGAATTTTGACCAACTTGACGACAACAACCTCACGAATTTTGACCAACTTGACGACAACAACCTCACGAATTTTGACCAACTTGACGACAACAACCTCACGAATTTTGACCAACTTGACGACAACAACCTTACGAATTTTGACCAGCTTGACGACAACAACCTCACGAATTTTGACCAACTTGACGACAACAACCTCACGAATTTTGACCAACTTGACGACAACAACGTCACGAATTTTGACCAACGACGACAACAACCTCACGAATTTTGACCAACGACGACAACAACCTAACGAATTTTGATTAACTTGACGACAACAACCTCACGAATTTTGACCAACTTGACGACAACAACCTTACGAATTTTGACCAGCTTGACGACAACAACCTCACGAATTTTGACCAACTTGACGACAACAACCTCACGAATTTTGACCAACTTGACGACAACAACCTCACGAATTTTGACCAACTTGACGACAACAACCTCACGAATTTTGACCAACTTGACGACAACAACCTTACGAATTTTGACCAGCTTGACGACAACAACCTCACGAATTTTGACCAACTTGACGACAACAACCTCACGAATTTTGACCAACTTGACGACAACAACCTCACGAATTTTGACCAACTTGACGACAACAACGTCACGAATTTTGACCAACTCGACGGCAACAACGTCACAAATTTTGACCAACTCGACGGCAACACGTCACAAATTTTGACCAACTTGACGACAACAACGTCACAAATTTTGACCAACTTGACGACAACAACGTCACGAATTTTGACCAACTTGACGACAACAACCTAACGAATTTTGACCAACTTGACGACAACAACCTAACGAATTTTGACCAACTTGACGACAACAACCTCACGAATTTTGACCAACTTGACGACAACAACCTCTCGAATTTTGACCAACTTGACGACAACAACCTCACGAATTTTGACCAACTTGACGACAACAACGTCACAAATTTTGACCAACTTGACGACAACAACGTCACGAATTTTGACCAACTTGACGGCAACAACGTCACAAATTTTAACCAACTCGACGGCAACAACGTCACAAATTTTGACCAACTTGACGACAACAACGTCACAAATTTTGACCAACTTGACGACAACAACGTCACGAATTTTGACCAACTTGACGACAACAACGTCACGAATTTTGACCAACTTGACGACAACAATGTCACAAATTTTGACCAACTTGACGACAACAACGTCGCACGCTTACAATCGACCCCCCCTCCCCCACACACACAAAGTCACAAGCAGTCCGCTAGTTAGTTGTTTGTTACGAACTAAGACAGTATTATTTTAAGGAGGAGTTGCCTTGTTTAGTAGCAGGATCACGATAGGAAAAAGTATCATCGAGTGTAAAGCTATCATTTAATGTTTACTTGGCAATATGAGATATGATTCTGTACAAGAGCTACTAGGCTGTTTAACACGACGTCATGTAAACTCAAGATATTGCATTCAGAGTTATTATCGACTAGTCTAGTGTGGTGATGTGTGGTATTATACTTATATTGGCAGGTGTATGCTTGCATGTAGGCAATGACGTATCGTGGTTTGTATAGCTGTGTATCACGTGATATTTTGTTTACTTTTAATTATGTCACTGTTTTTTAGTAAATTGCGCAAACCATTGTAAAATAATTGATGTTAGAATGGCATCTATTTTAAAATACGACACAAGTTTACAAAGTTGCCAGCAATAAATATTTGTCATAGACGTACAGTAAAACAGGACGTACATTAAAACAGGACGTACAGTAAAACAGGACGTACAGTAAAACAGGACGCACGGTAAAACAGGACGTACGGTAAAACATGACGTACGGTAAAACAGGACGTACTGTAAAATAGGACGTTCGGTAAAACAGGACGTACAGTAAAACAGGACGTACAGTTAAACAGGACGTACAGTAAAACAGGACGTACGGTAAAACAGGACGTACAGTAAAACAGGACGTATAGTAAAACAGGACGTACGGTAAAACAGGACGTACGGTAAAACAGGACGTACGGTAAAACAGGACGTACGGTAAAACAGGACGTACGGTAAAACAGGACGTACGGTAAAACAGGACGTACGGTAAAACAGGACGTGCAGTAAAACAGGACGTGCGGTAAAACAGGACGTGCAGTAAAACAGGACGTACAGTAAATCAGGACGTACGGTAAAACAGGACGTGCGGTAAAACAGGACGTGCGGTAAAACAGGACGTGCAGTAAAACAGGACGTACAGTAAATCAGGACGTACGGTAAAACAGGACGTACAGTAAAACAGGACGTACAGTAAATCAGGACGTACGGTAAAACAGGACGTACAGTAAAACAGGACGTACAGTAAAACAGGACTTACGTGATCGTCTTGAGTTACTGAGGTAAAGAAAAAATAAAACCGAAACGTGTATTTGTCTGACGACATTGTTTTCTCGCTGCATCCACAGCTAAAGGCTGGCGGCTCCTCCGGTACTGCGGTGTTACAGTAAACCCAGTCTTTGATCTCACACGTTTTTTCCTGTGGGATACATAGAGCGTGATAGTTAGGCCGGCATACATAGGGCGGCATTCATAGGGCGGCATACATAGGGCGGCATACATAGGGCGGCATACATGGGGTGGCATACATAGGGCGGCATACATAGGGCAGCATACATAGGGCAGCATACATAAGGCTGCATACATAGGGCGTAATAAATAGGGCGTGATAGGGCGGCATACATGGGGTGGCATACATAGGGCGTGATAGATAGGGCGGCATACATAGGGCGTGATAGATAGGGTAGCATACTTAGGGCATGATAGTTAGGGCGGCATACATAGGGCGGCATTCATAGGGCGGCATACATAGGGCGTGATAGGTAGGGCGGCATTTAAGTGGAAAGCTGGTAATTTGTAACCGCCTAAGAAGAAAATTGATTAAAAAAAAACCAAAAGGCAGTTTGTTTTTAATTAAAGCAAAATTTATTATAAGCCAAACAAGAGTTAAACGAACATTGAGTGGAAGATAAACATTGAAGTTTATAAAAAGGATAATTTTTTTCTTCTTCGTTCTTAATTATAGTGTAGGAATAGATTCCCGCAAACACCAATAAATATAACGTGAGAACTTGTTATGTGCCTTTTAATCCATAGACTCCGATTTCAGCCTGCTTTTCTTTTTATTAAAACGTTTTTCTTAACTCAGCTTCGCGTTTGTTTGTTTGGTTGTTTGGATGTTTGTTGTTAAAATTGACATCGAAAATTAGCCCACTTCTGATTGCTCTAGAGACCTGAAATTTGGCATGCATGCTACTTTCGCCTAACAATTTCAGATGCAATCATAAAAACTAGCAATTAGTGACCGTAATTAGCTTAATTTAATTACGCCCCAAGGACCATAAAATTGAGGACATGATTTCTAAAGATACCGACAAGACTGGAGTCCTAATGACACAGTTACTTCGGCCCCAATCGATGTGAGCGCGCTGGCCGTGATCGTATAGTTGTTAGTACTTCGCGTTGTGGCCGCGACAACCCAGGTTCGAATCCTGGTCGCTCAAGATTTTTAGTCCGTGTATTTATAAACACTTTTTTAAAAACCACGTTTTTCATGTGTAGCAACGGACTAAAAAGGAGAAAATAAAATACTTAAAAAAAACTTTTTAAAAAACCACGTTTTTCTTGTGGACTAAAAAGTAGAAAATAACTATTTACATACATTTGATGACAAAAAACGTGGGTCGGGCAGATGGGTCGGGAAATTTGATGGTGAACGTACCCACGTTTTTTGTCATCAAATGTATGTAAATAGTTATTTTCTACTTTTTAGTCCACAAGAAAAACGTGGTTTTTTAAAAAGTTTTTTTTTAAGTATTTTATTGGATTTGCTTCCATGGCCTTTGTCCAACCAAGAACAAACTGCAAGGCAGCAGTTGTTAGAATTTGGAGTTGTCTCTCCTAGAAGAGTGGCTGTTCCAAGCTGTCTCATCTACCCGAGGGTTCGAACTCGAGACTTTCGTTTTAGGAACCATGCTCTTTACCGACTCGACCACCCCATTTAAAGCATTTAAAATATCTGATCTTTCTTTTCTTCTAATTGTGCAATGTCACTGGTGATTTTTATTTCATGGAAATTTATCAGTATCAGAAATTTCTGTCTTGTACTGTAGCAGATGTCTGAGGAAATTGAAAGTTAAAGGGTTAGTTGTATATTTTGTTAATAGGATTTGTGGAAAATAAATATAAGCAAATATAAAGTTACCATCACCTTTAAAATGTACACTTGTATACTACCACCACCTGTAAAATGTACACTAGTATACTACCACCACCAGTAAAACGTACGCTATTATCCTACCACCACCTTTAATATGTACACCAGTATCCTACCACCACCTGTAAAATGTACACTAGTATACTACCACCACCTTTAAAATGTACACTAGTATACTACCACCACCTGTAAAATGTACACTAGTATACTACCACACCATGTACCTTGTTACCCGCCTTAGCGTTCATAGCTCTAGTCGGCAAGGAAAATCAAAACAAAATGTGTTTAAAAATGAAGCAGAATGGGTTCGTTGGCAAAGAAAAGATAACGAGAAACACCCAATCTCTGACTGTATTTAGAACACACCGCATTCTGACTAAACACATAATAATCATTAAAAAAGTTTAAAAAAACCCACGTTTTCTGATTGAACTAAAAAGCAGAAAATAAATGCTATACATCACAATAATGCAAGCGATCACTCTACTATAAGCGATCAAAAACGTGGGGCGCCGTGATTTTCTTACAGTTTCTAATACTGTTGACTCTCTACAAGCTCCCTAATAAAAGTCAATAGTATTATCTAATCTATAGTAATATAACTTTTACTTCGGCGCCCCACGTTTTTGATCGCTTATAGTAGAGTGATCGCTTGCATTATTGTGATGTATAGCATTTATTTTCTACTTTTTAGTTCAATCAGAAAACGTGGGTTTTTTTAAACTTTTTTAATGATTATTATTTTCTACTTTTTAGTCTTTGTCTGTTTGTTTGCATTAAAATCTTGCTATCGATTTTATCTTTTCACTTTTTTTTTTGGGTAAACGAAGACAACTCGTAAAAAACACGTTGTGTGAATACGTTACTGACTAGAACACATAGATTTGAACCCGTGTCGAGTGGGATAGCAATCGTGTACCCAACCACTCGACCATATCGTCTCCCCCATACTGGCCACCAGTTGTTACGGCTGTTTGTACACAAACACCGCGTGAACACTACTCAGTAAGCATAGAGGGAGAGTACCGAACCTTGTTTTCATCAAATTACAGTTACTGGGTTATGTCCCTTTTTCCCCACGTTTTTACTACAATTATATAGCGCTCTAAAATGCTCAATAAAATGTTTCCATGGATCAATTTAGTAATAATAACAATTGAATATTCTATTGTCATCCAAAACAAAGCTTCCCTGAAAATTTCAGCGCGCTAGCTAACTGGGAAGTGCCAGAAATTTTGATCGCAAGATTTGATTGGAAAGACAGAGACGAAAGCAAGTTAAAGAAAACGTGGGAAAAAACAACTTACCGTTCTGTTGTTTTGTTTGTTCGGTTCCTCCATTCTTGTCAGATCACTGCATCATCTATAGTGATTCCATCGTGGTTCCGCATTTTCAATCGACCAGATTAAGCGAAATTAGGCTGGTTACAAATTTCACACTCCTTCGAATATTGATAGTTTTTTTTCATATTTATGCGTGTTAAACACAATATCAGATTTAGTTTTCAAAGACGTCATTTTCCACGACACTTTCCTCGACACTTTCCTCGACACTTTCCTCGACACTTTCCACGACACTTTTCTCGACACTTTCCTCGACACTTTCCTCGACACTTTCCTCGACACTTTCCTCGACACTTTCCTCGACACTTTCCACGACACTTTCCTCGACACTTTCCTCGACACTTTCCACGACACTTTCCTCGACACTTTCCTTGACACTTTCCTCGACACTTTCCTCGACACTTTCCTCGACACTTTCCTCGACACTTTCCTCGACACTTTCCTTGACACTTTCCTCGACACTTTCCTCGACACTTTCCTCGACACTTTCCTCGACACTTTCCTCGACACTTTCCTCGACACTTTCCTCGACCGTTTTTAAGCCTACTAGATAAACACGCGGAGTGATATTTGAACATTCCACCCACATCCCCACTCCCCATTTAAACAACACATTTACTTACAACAGTTGTATCTTTTAATAATTGAAAGTTGATATGATCATTTTCAGATCTGGACATATCCCGAGAATTCATTCTGTTGAGTATATGCAGAAAATACAAATATCCCATAAAGTCATTCTGTTGAGTATATGCAGAAAAAACAAATGTCCCATAAAGTCATTCTGTTGAGTATATGCAGAAAATACAAATGTCCCATAAAGTCATTCTGTTGAGTATATGCAGAAAATACAAATGTCCCATAAAGTCATTCTGTTGAGTATATGCAGAAAATACAAATATCCCATAAAGTCATTCTGTTGAGTATATGCAGAAAATACAAATGTCCCATAAAGCCATTCTGTTGAGTATATGCAGAAAATTCAAATATCCCATAAAGTCATTCTGCTGAGTATATGCAGAAAATACAAATATCCCATAAAGTCATTCTGCTGAGTATATGCAGAAAATACAAATATCCCATAAAGTCATTCTGTTGAGTATATGCAGAAAATACAAATGTCCCATAAAGTCATTCTGTTGAGTATATGCAGAAAATATTAATGTCTTATAAAGTATTTCTGTTGAGTAGGCCCCTATATGCAGAACATACTAATGTCCCATAAAGTAATTATGTTGAGTGTGTTCTTGCTAAAGCTGTCATTAAACAATCACTTTTAAAGCATGTATTAAATCGGAAATAGCGTAAACTGATACTTCCGGTAACCGTAAATCACTCAATATTGGACACAAAAAAGAGGCCTAAAAGATAATAAGCCTATGTATGAAATTTCATTTAGCTAACTAATACAGTACTCAAGTTTTTTGGTATTCTAGAATATTTTCGAACTAGAAATAGAGCTAAATACCTCTTCCGGATAACATTCGATATAATGCTTTTTAATGAAATTTCGTCAAAATATCTGAAACAGTAGGCTACTCAAGTTATCGTTTTAAAAGATAACACATTTTTAATTATACAAATGGAAAAGTGTTTATGGCTGTGACAAGAGAACGCAATAAGCAATGACGTCACATGCCACATGTTTAAACTACGGAATGAACACAACACTTATAGCGTCAACTTCCAATTTTAGAATATGAAGAAATGAACTATTTCATTCAAATTTTATTTCGATCTATAGATCTCCTTATCAAATGAAAAAGAACTTACTCTATTAAGCATGAATGTTATATAAAAAAATACAACATTTGTGTTATTAAGAAACCTCCTCTATAAAGCATGAATGCAATGTCAAACAAATACAACATTTGTGTTATTAAAAAAACTTACTCTATGAAGCATGAATGTTATATCAAAAAAATACAACATTTGTGTTGTATTAGTAAAAAATTTACTATATGAAGCATGAATGTTAAATCAAACAAATACAACATTTGTGTTGTATTATTAAAAAAAACGTACTCCATGAAGCACGAATGTTAAATCAAACAAATACAACATTTGAGTTGTATTATTAAAAAACTTACTCTATGAAGCATGAATGTTAAATCAAACAAACACAACATTTGTGTTGTATTATTAAAAAACTAACTCTATGAAGCATGAATGTTAAATCAAACAAACACAACATTTGTGTTGTATTATTAAAAAACCTACTCTATGAAGCATGAATGGTATATCAAACAAACACAACATTTGAGTTGTATTATTAAAAAACTTACTCTATGAAGCATGAATGTTAAATCAAACAAACACAACATTTGTGTTGTATTATTAAAAAACTTACTCTATGAAGCATGAATGTTAAATCAAACAAATACAACATTTGTATTATTAAAAAACTTACTCTAAGAAGCATGAATGTTATATCAAACAAACACAACATTTGTGTTGTATTGTTAAAAAAACTTACTCTATGAAACAGTGTTGCATGAAAGGCTGGTTGATAAGAGGTGGTAGATCTTCCAGTGTCAAAGTTAGGGCTTCACACAGACCTTTGTTAATAAGGACAAAAACAGACGTCAACATGCACATACACATATTATATACTATATACACAAGCAAAAACCTATTGATATCTACAATTAGACTTATGCATCCACTTAGCAACATATAAAAATCCAAATCTAACATTCTAAACCCAAATCAACACACAAACACCTAAATACACTTTTCCATATAGAAGATTTAACAACCGAGCAATTTTAAGAATTATAATGATGACTAAATCATCTAGATCTAGATCAGATAAAGATTTAGAATTTATCTAGACCTAGATAAAGATTTAGATTTTAGAATGTGTCTGTTAGTTATTACTGTTGGCAAAATAGTATTTTCTTCCAAATCAACAATGAGCCAGACACGCAAGTTTGCCATGGATATAAACTATATTTTCTTTGTTCGACACTTACTTAAATAAGTCAGCATCCAGAAGCCAACGGGCAATAAGAAAGACTGAGGTTTTAACACAAGCATCTTTTATATATGTGTCTCTTACGGTTGTCAGTTCTAGTCAAAGTGTCGCCTTCCGAGTTCACTTGCTCAGACACTTTAGGTGCAAACGTATAATCTCTAGATCTAGTTTTTGCTCTTACAAAAAAGGTGTGCACGATCTAAATCTATCACGCCTATTCAAACAAACTATATAATACAAGTTTTTATGATATACGATATTATAAACACACCAAAAAATTAAAAAAAAACTAATATAAAAAAAAAATTATAATGCACTGGAAAGAAGAAAATAAAACAAAATTCCTTTCTTTGATAAAAGTTTTGGTCGCTAAACCACATCAGAGATATCATGCACGACCAAAGCTTTTTTTTAAGAAAGTAAGTTTATTTCATTCTATTCTTTTCAGTGCATTTGAAAGCTTGTTATTATAAAGGTTTTTTTAATACGAGCCGACCCGCTGCGTATCATACGCCGCTATTTAGTTGTTTTTTTTCTACTTTTCAGTAATTTATAATTTGTGAATTCGACAGTACCAATGCTGCCATTGAAAATATTTGCTTAAAAACACTACCCCCCCCCCCCCTCCACGTGAAAGCAGCCTCCTCTTAGTTACCTCCTCTAAGTTTAAAATCGTTTCAAACTAAATTATCTGCCCCTAATAGCCGTTACCAAACCCGTCTCTGTGATTGTAAAATGTAAACAGAGTGAACACAACTCACCAGACAATGTGGGGGCGGGGTGGGGGTGGTTGTGATATTGATATAGAGGAAGAGAGGGGACTGTAAGGCGAGGTTGCAGCTTGTTTTCTAACGGCTCGAAGAAGAGAATTATATATATAGATTTGTTTTATTTTCGACTTTTTAGTAATTCATAATGTATGAAGTCAACACTACCAACGTTGCGACTAAAACACAATCAGTAGCTCGCAATCCCTGAAAGACGATTACCTGACACGTGACAGCAGCCGTCCGTGACCACAAATTACAGAAGACAACATGCTGATCAGGAGATCGCTAGTACTTAATCACGTTACCTCCCCTTAGTTAGGCTTAGTTTCAAATATTAGAAAAAAAAACTCTTTTATCTGCCCCTAATAACCTTTACTAACAAAACTAGTTCTACGATTGTAAACATTCTCGTGAACCACAGCTCAGCATACTGACTGATCATGTGATTGCGCCTAGCTAGTTGTCTCCGCTTCTGTTTTTGAATATAGTAATCTAGTATATCTAGTGAGCTCTAGCATTTAATCTTGTAATCAACCTTTAGTTTTGAAACAGATTAATACATTTTCAATGATTCAACATATAATTAGAATAAAAAAATAAATAGTCTTTTATTGTCATCTGGAAAGTTTGGGAAGGTAATGTCTTGCTGCAGATTTTGGGTCGGGGTAATGTATTGGCAGGTGGGACAATTGACAGAGGGTAGTTGAACTGAATATACATTTGTCTAAATCGCGTCGATTTAAAGACTGATGTTACACATTTGAAACTTTATCTATTTTGCTATAAACAATAAATAATAGCAGTAGTTTTTAATAAACATTCTTCAAAGAAAAAGTTTTGTGAATAATTATTCCAATATATTTAACCATCGAAGACCTTAGTTCGAAACTGTTGGTGTTTGTCTTTCTTTATCTTTTATCATTAATGCTAAATAAACCCCTTTAACTATTGAATAGTGGTGTTTAAATTATTTTGCAATATCCTATTCTTGTGACTCGGGAAATGTGGACCAAAGGCACTAATAAACTTTATTGTTTATCTTTGTCGTATTAGTTTTGTGTATATCAGCCATCAGTCTAAAAATTAATTAACACTCATTATTAATTATTTTTTCACAGCTATTAAAAAACGTAACTGTTTGGTATAAATTTTAAAGGAATTTTTCTTTTATCCAAAAGTTTTTATTTTTGTGTGTAGTCAAAGAACGGGTAAATTTACAGTTAAAATATTTGGCGTAATAGACTTGAAAAGCTGGTTCCAAATGCATAAGGCAATGAGCTATCTCCTTATAAAGTACCTTGTTTTTGTCATGTCTGCAATTGGTCTCTTTGAAAAATGTATAGTTTTTATAATGTAGTGGTCAGTCTAGGTTAGTTTTGGGTTAGTTTAGACTCTATTAGTAGGATTGCAATAGCTAGCCCGGGTGTCCGCAAGTACCTTATCTAATTCTGTTAGGATTAACACACAAAGGTATCGACTACTTAAAATGTACTTTTATGTGGCAGATTAATAAAATAAACAACGACATAATTAATAATATTATTATAATATAAAGACATGAAGAAATAATAAAACATATATAAATAACTTTATAAGAATACATTTTAAATGTGCTAAAAACAAAAATAAAAATAAACCGGGAGTGATCTCCCCTAAACTTTCTCGAATATTCTTATATAAAATAACAGGGGATGGGAACTCGGGCTATAGACATGATTTTTAATCCATTTTAAAAATAGAATAAAATCTCGTAGACAAATTAATTGCACGCCAAGTGAACGCCAAATAAAAAAGCGCATAATAGTGCGCAATATTATTAGTACTTTTAAAATTTACATTAGTTTTTTGAGAAATCGGAAGTAGCGTAAATTTTTACTTCCAGTCAACGGAAATTACTCAAAATTTAACAGTAGGTAGAGAATTAGATCATTTACTTACATGTGAAATTTCATTTATCTATCTGAAATAGTACTCAAGTTATAGGCTTTTGAAAAATTCAAAGTAGGAAAAGTACCACTTCCGGTTATCGGAAATCGCTCAAAAGTTGATACAGATCTACGATTTTGATAAAATACTTATATATGAATGTTCATCAACCTAGCTGTAACGGTACTCAAGTTATCGTGTTTACACACGGACAGACAGACAGACAGACAGACAGACAGACACACAGACATACGGACAAGATTGCAAAATTATGTTTTTCCGTATCAGTGAGGTGTAAAACGTCGAGATTTGTAAAAATCTCGATTTTTTTTTTGCACGATTACAAGACTTTCTCTATACTTCGTATATACGAGAAAGTAATAAAGTTCTTTAATAAGATTGTTTTCATTAAAGGAAGCAAGTTAAAAAAAAATATTTAAATCGACACCACATACATATTTTCTTCGAAATCCGACCAGGGTCTGGCGATAGCTTAAAGACAATTATCTGCAAATTTGAACACCTGTGAAAACTAACCGTCCACGACAAACTGTACATAATTCTAAACGTGCTGATTAAGTAGTACTTTTTTTCGGCAACATTTCTCAAAGATTTTATAAGCGACCAACGCTTTTATTAAAGGCATCAATTATGTGGGTTTTTTCCATATTTTATTTTCTAATTTGTAATAATCAATTAGATCTAATTTAACACAATATTGTACTAAAATATTTCTTAAAAACCGACGAGTAGCTTAAGATCGCTAAAAGACAATTAATCTTCTAAGTTTACAGTAGTCTTTCAGGAATGAAAAGTTTCACTACGAGCTTACCTTGAAGATCGATCTATCTCTAGTGTTTGATCCTGTTTTCTCCTCTTTTTCTTATTAATTTTAATATATTTTAATAACATATTCACATTAATTTAATATCTTATTTTTTTAAAATTAAATATTCTTACATATTCTTATAATTTTTCTTTTTGTTCTCGTTTATAAAAGAAGTTTCAAAGTGTTCTTTAACAGAATTCTTTCAGGCCCTAAAACCTACATAAATATACGTTTCTTAGCAATCAAAAAGGTAAAATTAAGAAGTAATTGGATTAAAAGTAATATTTTATTTTATTTTGGTTTTAAAGTAATATTTTGTTTAATGTTCCATAATATCAATCATAGTTGTTTCCGGTAACTTTTCAACATAACAGCTCTGAAAGTAGGTCACATCAAGTCAAACATGTCCACAATGAGGCAGCTTAACATTATGTTTGGAAACTCAATTGCTTAACGATTCTCTATTTTCTTTCGACTTAAGCCATATTGATTTATTAATTTGTTATTTTTATTAGGTTACAACACAAGTATCATTTTTCAAAAAAGATTGCTAGTGCAAATCACCTATTTCAAGACTTAAATAAACCGGGAGTGATCTCCCCTAAACTTTCTCGGATATTCCAATATAAAACTACAAGGGATGGCAACTCAGGACATAGACAATATTTGTAATCCATTTTTAATTACTTAAACTTTTTATAATAGAATGGAATCTCGTAAAAAAAAGAATTGCACACTAAGTGAACGCCTAATAAAATGTGCATAATAGTGCGCAATATTATTAGTACTTAAAAAATTGAATAAAATCACGTAGACAAAAGATTGCACACCAAGTGAACGCCAAATAAAAAAGGGCATAATAGTGCGCAATATTATTAGTACTTTAAAAATTTACGTGCGATTTTTGAGAAATCGGAAATAGCGTAAATTAGTACTTCCGATCAACGGAAATTACTCAACATTTGAAAGAAGGTAGAGAATTAGATCTTTTACTTACATGTGAAATTTCATTTATCTATCTGAAATAGTACTCAAGTTATAGGCTTTTGAAAAATTCAAGGCAGAAAAAGTACCACTTCCGGATATCGGAAATCGCTCAAAAGTTGATACGGATCTACGGTTTTAATAAAATACTTATATATAAAATTTCATCAACCTAGCTGTAACGGTACTCAAGTAATCGTGTTTACACACAGACACACACACAGACACACACACAGACATACGGACAAGATTGCAAAATTATGTTTTTCCGTATCAGTGAGGTGTAAAACGTCGAGATTTGTAAAAATCTCGATTTTTTTTGCACGATTACAATACTTTCTCTATACTTCGTATATACGATAAATTAAAAAATGGCTTTCGTATAATGCTATGCCAAAACAATTTAAGTTATCTATTTGATTTTCAAAATAACGTTTTAAAAACTTTTTAAGCACTAGGTTTTATGTAATAATGGACTAAAAAGGAAAAAAAAAGCATGATTTTCTTTAAATAGATAATAATGGACTTGTATTGAAATAACTAGATGAAAATAAAAACTAAAAGAAAATAATAAACAAGACTGTTACACA